TGTAGTCCAGGCTGTTCCAGTTATCATTGCACCATTCCGTATTTGGCCTCATCGACCAGCTCACACCAGAGCTTCCTGTCAGCAGGCCACTCCCAGCTCCTTCAAGGTCAAGCATCAATTCAAGGATACTATCCATCCATCCACCTTGCCCTTGGTCAGCCCCTCTTCCTTTTTCCTTCCATTTTCCCCAGCATCATTCTCTTCTCTAAACTTTCCTGTCTTCTCATTATTTGGCCAAAGTACTTCATCTTGGCCTCTAAACTCCTTCCCTCCAGTGAACAGTTAGACTGGTTGGATCTTCTCACGGTCCAAGGCAATCTCAGAACTTTCCTCCAACACCACAGTTCAAAAGCATCTCTCTTCCTTTGCTCAGCCTTCCTTATGGTCCAGTTCTCGCATCCATAGGTTACTACGGGGAATACGACTGCTTTAACTATGTGGACCTTCACTGCCAGTGCGATGTCTCTACTCTTCATTCTTCTATTGAGATTGGCCATTGCTCTCCTCCCAAAAAGTAAACGTATTCTGATTTCCTGGCTGCAGTCTGCGACTGCAGTCATCTTTGCACCTAGAAATACAAAGTCTGTCACGGCCTCCACGTTTTCTCCCTGTATTTCCCAGTTGTCAATCATTCTTGTTGTCATAATCTTGGTATTTTTTATGTTTAACTGCAACCCAGCTTTTGCGCTTTCTTCTTTCACCTTGATTAGAAGGCTCCTCAGCTCCTCCTCGCTTTCAGCCATCAAAGTGGTGTCATCTGCATATCTAAGGTTGTTGATGTTTCTTCCAGCAATTTTAACTCCAGCCTTGCATTTGTCAAGCCCTGCACATCGCATGATGTGTTCTGCATGCAAGTTGAATAGGTTGGGTGAGAGTAGACAATCCTGCCGTATGCCTTTCCCAATCTTGATCCAGTCAGTTGTTCCATGGTCAGTTCTGACTGTGGCTACTTCGTCCTTGTACAGATTCCTCAGGAGAGAGACAAGGTGGCTTGGGATGCCCATCCCACCAAGATCTTGCCACAATTTATTTATTTGTCATGTCAGAGCAACCAGTCCATTATATTACATTTCTAACAGAACAAAGCAAACAAACAAAAATACAAAACTTGTGAGTTTGGTAGTTGGTTAAATGTCCTTTGACCAGTATCTGGCCACTTGGAGTGCTTCCTGTTGCTGCAAGAAGGTCCTCCATTGTGCATGTGGCAGGGCTCAGGTTGCATTGCAGCAGGTGGTCAGTGGTTTGCTCTTCTCCACACTCGCATGTCGAGGATTCCACTTTGTAGCCCCATTTCTGAAGGTTGGCTCTGCATCTTGTGGTGCCAGAGCGCAGTCTGTTCAATGCCTTCCAAGTCGCCCAGTCTTCTGTGTGCCCAGGAGGGAGTCTCTCATTTGGTATCAGCCATTGGTTGAGGTGCTGGGTTTGAGCCTGCCACTTTTGGACTCTCGCTTGCTGAGGTGTTCCAGCGAGTGTCTCTGTAGATCTTAGAAAACTATTTCTAGATTTAAGTCATTGATGTGCTGGCTGATACCCAAACAGGGGATGAGCTGGAGATGTCTCTGCCTTGTTCCTTTCACTATTGGCTGCCACTTCCCGGCAAGCAGTGTAATTTCTCCAGTGGTGTAGGGCGCAGACACCCCGTGATAATGCGGCATGTCTCATTAAGAGCCACACCCACTGTTTTAGTGTGGTGAGATGTGTTCCACACTGGGCATGCGTACTCAGCAGCAGAGTAGCACAGCGCAAGGGCAGATGTCTTCACTGTGTCTGGTTGTGATCCCCAGGTTGTGCCAGTCAGCTTTCGTATGATATTGTTTCTAGCACCCACTTTTGCTTGATGTTCAGGCAGTGCTTCTTGTAGGTCAGAGCACGGTCCAGAGTGACTCCCAGGTATTTGGGTGCGCTGCAATGCTCCAGTGGGATTCCTTCCCAGGTGATCCTCAGAGCTCGGGATGCTTCTCTGTTCTTGAGATGAAAGGCACATGTCTGTGTTTTAGATGGGTTGGGGATCAGCTGGTTTTCCACAATTTATTATGATCCACACAGTCAAAGGCTTTAGAATAGTCAATGAAGCAGAAAGAGATGTTTTTCTGAAACTTCGGATAGGTAAGCTGAGCCAAAAAACCTGGAAGGCCTAAGTTTGCCCATGTCTGGACGACAGGAATGACTATTTGTTTCCTTCTGCTTTCCACAGGCCCATTTTCCCTTCCAGCCTTGCCACAGAAACGCCTCAAGCGGTCACGTGATCCACCAGGAAACCAACCCCGCCTCCTTCCTTAGGGCTTCTTGCCGATTTACTGCGCATGCGCGAACGAATGAGCGGAGGCGGGGGGCGAGATCCCGCGAGAGTTGAGGCCTCCGAGATCCGAAAAGCCGGAAGTGGGTGGTAAAGAACCCGGAAGACTTGGAAAGCAAAGTACACACAGGAGGAGAAAGGAGGGGAAGAAGACGCAGGCCAGGATGGACGGTAAGGGAGGCCAAAGAAGGGGAAGGAGGGGGTTGTTGCTCTTATTCTGATTCAAGAGAGATATTGACAAGCTGGAATGTGACTAAAATGATAAAAGGTCTGGAGAACAAGCCCTATGAGGAGCGGCTTAAGGAGCTGGGCATGTTTAGCCTGAAGAAGAGAAGGCTGAGAGGAGATATGACAGCCATGTATAAATATGTGAGAGGAAGCCACAGGGAGGAGGGAACAAGCTTGTTTTCTGCTTCCCTGGAGACTAGGACGCAATGGAACAATGGCTTCAAACTACAAGAGAGGAGATTCCATCTGAACATGAGGAAGAACTTCCTGACTATGAGAGCCGTTCAGCAGTGGAACTCTCTGCCCCGGAGTGTGGTGGAGGCTCCTTCTTTGGAAGCTTTTAAACAGAGGCTGGATGGCCATTTGTCAGGGGTGATTTGAATGCAATATTCCTGCTTCTTGGCAGGGGGTAGGACTAGATGGCCCATGAGGTCTCTTCCAACTCTTTGATTCTATGATTCTATTCTTATTATATTTATCCACAATCGAGGCTCTTAGGACTCTTCAGAGGAATGGGATTGTGTTGCGCAGTGACGTCGCCCAGGGAGTGATGTCATCATGGTGTGACGTAAGCGCACAACAGATGCCTCATAGCAGGGCAAGGAATGGCAGGCATGGCAGATCTCGTGGTTGAGAGAAGGGCTGGGTTGCTGTGATTGTAGAGTCGGGCCTTGAAGCAAATAGAATCACAAAATTGGAAGGGAGCTCCAAAGGTCATCTAGTCGAGCCCACTGCCAGCGATTGTAGAGTCAGAGTTTCAAGCAAATAGTATTATAGAATAGGAAGGGCCCCGAAAGATCTTCTAGTGTGTCCCACTGCCAGCAATTGCAGAGTCGGGACTTTGAAGAAATAGAATTACAAATCTGGAAGGGAGCCCCAAAGGTCATCTAAGCGGTTCAGGCCCAACATACCTGTCTGAATGCATCTTCCCTTATGAACCTGCTAGGACTTTAAGATCGTCCGGGGTGGCTCTGCTCTCGATCCCGCCTGCGTCGCAAACACTTTGGTGGGGACGAGAGACAGGGCCTTTTCAGTGGTGGCCCCTCAGCAATGGGACGCCCTTCCTGGGAAGATTAGATTGGCCCCCTCCCTCTTAATATTTCGGAAGAGAGTCAGGACTTCATTGTTTGAGCAAGCGTTTGAAAATGCAAGGTAAAAGACATAGGAACTGGAATGACTGGACGACGAGATGGGACAATGTTTTTTTAGGAGACGCAAAAGATTCATGCTTTTAGTATTCTTGTTACAGTTTTATATTATGTGTTAATGTTTTTAAATGTTTTATGGTGTTTTTGGGCATCAAATTGTTGCCATTGTAAACCGCCCTGAATCGCCTAAGGGCTGAGAAGGGTGGTATACAAATATAGTAAATAAATAAATAAACCGAATAGTATTACTTCTCTAGGGCTGAGTTTCCAGGCTGTCTGACCATGTTCCAGAAGCATTCTCTCATGACGTTTCACCTGCATCTATGGCAGGCATCTCAGAGGTTGAGGGGTCTGTTGGAAACTAGGCAAGTGCATGTATATACACAAACACATATGTATGTGTGCGTGTGGAATGATGGCCAGGGTGGGAGAAAAAATTCTTGTGTGCTTGAAGCAAGTGTGAATGTTCCAAATGGCCACCTTGATTAGCATTTAATGGCTTTACAACTTCAAAGCCTGGCTGGTTGCTGCCTGGGAGAATCCTTTGTTGGGAGGTGTTAGCTAGGGCCAGCTAACCATTGTCATACTACACAGAGAAGCCATTGAAATCCACACACATCTGGACAATTTCAATAGAAAGGAGGAAACCATGAAAATGAACAAGATCTGGCTACCAGTATTTACCAGAAAACAGAGTAATTCCGGACATGACTCAGTCAGGGTCAGCTAACACCTCTCAACCAAATATTTCACCAGGCAGCAACCAGTCAGGCTTTGAAGCTGCAAGGCCCTTAAATGCTAATCAAGGTGGCCAATTGGAACATTCACACCTAGCTTCAACAGACAAGAGTTCTTTCTCCCACCCTGGACATTCTACAGGTATATAAATAAAATTTTCCTAGTTTCCAACAGACCTCACAACCTCTGAGGATGCCTGCCTTAGATGTGGGTGAAGTGTCACCTGTTCTGTATCTTTGCATTTCATTTTCTGCCTAAGTGTAGTATTTTACATTTGTCTTTGCATTTTGTTAGTTTTGGCCAATTAGCTGTCTAATCTGTTAAGGTCATTTTGAATCCTCATTCTGGGAGTATTAGCTCTCCTTCCAATTTGGTGTCATCTGCAAGCTTGATAAGCATGCCCTCTAAACCTTCATCCAAGTCATCAATAAAGATGTTGAACAGTATTGGGTCCAGGACCAAAATAGACCCGTGTCCACTTCTGGTTTGGTGTTGTTTATTTTTGAAGCATTTTTGCCTTTAGTGTGGATCATAGGGGCAGGAAATGGACTCCTAAAAATAGTGCTGATACTCATACAATTTGGGGTTTTTGTTGTGAGTGGTTCATGTTATTATTTTCATTTATACCAGGCCTGGGCAAACTTCAGCCCTTCCCCCACCAGGTGTTTTGGACTTCAACTCCCACAATTCCTAATAGGGATTTGAAGTCCAAAACACCCGGAGGGCTGAAGTTTGCCCAGGCCTGATTTATACTCTTGTTTTTTCTCTCTGAAAAAGAGATTCAACACAGCTTATAACCCAATCCAATACAATTTCCTGTCACAATTAAATATTTGAAACGGTGTCCCATTGACAAGAGGGCAGGATTGTTTTCTGATACTCTGGAGACTAAGAAACATAGCAATGGATGCAAAGCACAGGAAAAGAAATTTTAGCCAGAAATTAGGAAGAATTTTCTCATTTTTTAGAGCCAACTGAGGGTGGAATTAGTTACCTGGGAGCCTCCTTCTCTTGAGGTTTTTGAGCAGAGGCCGAATAACCAACTGTTGAGAGGGTTTAGACTGTGTCCTCAAGCCTGGCCAAAGGGGGTTGGACTGGATGGCCCATTTGGGATTTCTTCCAACTCTAGCATTCTATGATTCAATGCAATAAGGTTGTGCTGGGAAGATTTTGTTACCTTCCAAATAATTGCTTTTGTGGAAATCTGCTCAGTTAGATTTCCTTCAGAGATGCATCTTCAACAGCTGAAAATGCCTTTCTGGCTGTTGTCGCATATCATTTCCTCTTCCTGAATGCTGCGCAGGAGAGACAGTGTTGAAACTGTTTATCAAGGTGGATTCTTGTAGGAGGCAGGGCTGGGCAATCGAATGATTCATTTCCAGAAGAGAAAAGAGATGGAGCTGCCACACCTGAGCATTGAAGTCTGGAGAGAGAATAAATGACCAAATGCGGTGGCCATTGAAAGCCAAACTATAACCGGTCTGCCATCACATTTATTTTTTATTTATTTATGACATTTCTGCCCCACCTCAAGGCAGCTTTCCATAGAGGCAACAATTCGATGCCTTAAAACACAACGTACACTTAAATAAATATTAAAATAGAATCAAAAAGTACATTAAAAACAATCAAAACATTAAAAATCAATACATTCAGAGTTAAACACGTCCTCCACGAGCGTAATCCGGGCCATTCCAATGGTCATTGCACATTGTTCCAAGTCTATCTATTGCACAAGATCTCTAAAGGCTTAGTCACAAAGCCACGTTTTCACTCTCTTGCGGAACATCAGAAGGGAGGGGGCTGATCTAACATCGCTGAGGAGGGAGTTCAACAGCCAAGGGGCCACTACTGAGAAGGCCCTGTCTCTTGTCTCCGCCAATCATGCCGGCGAGGGAGGTGGGACCGAGAGCAGGGCCTCCCCAGATGATCTTAAATTCTGTGGTGGTTCATAGAGGGAAACACGTTCGGACAGATAAGCTAGGTCAGAACCGTTTAGGGCTTTATAGGCTAAAGCGAGCACTTTGAAGTGTGCTCGGTAGCAGATTGGCAGCCAGTGGAGTTGACGTAACTGGAGGTTGTATGCTCCCTGTACACCACTCCGGTGAGCAATCTGGCTGCCACCCATTGGACCATTTGTAGCTTCCAAACAGTCTTCAAAGTCAGCCCCACATAGAGCACGTTGCAGTAGTCTATTCAGGATGTAACCAGAGTGTGGACTACATGGCCAAGTCTATTGTCTATTCTACATGGCATCCTATTGTATTTAGATATGTGAGTTTGGCAGTTGTATGCCCTGTTAAACGTATAACAAACAGAGAACTTTGTGCCCACAATGCCATCATTGCTACCATAATACTCTAGACATGAATTGGGTCTGACCTTTTTCCAGACTTGGGAGAAAGTGTTACAATGATTACTCTAGAGGGCAAGTATATGTCTCTTAATAATAATTAATAGGAGCCCCGGTGGCACAGTGGGTTAAAGCTCTGTGCTGGCAGGAATGAAGACTGACAGGTCACAGGTTCGAATCCGGGGAGAGGCGGATGAGCTCCCTCTATCATCTCCAGCTCCTCATGCGGGGACATGAGAGAAGCCTCCCACAAGGATGATAAAAACATCAAATCATCCGGGCGTCCCCTGGGCAAGGTCCTTGCAGACGGCCAATTCTCTCACAACAGGAGCGACTTGCAGTTTCTCAGGTCGCTCCTGACACAACAAAAAATAATAATAATAAATAAATAATAATTTTGAAATCTTCTAACTGTTGTCCTTTTTTTCTTTTACAGATACACTCTTCCAGTTAAAGGTGAGTGTTGGGACTGAGATACTTGCTCTTGTTAGAGTTTTGATTCCTTGCAGCACAATGTGCATATAGGTGTACTATTTGTATGATGAGCATGTGTTGTGATGGTTTCTAGGTTTTTCTTAGGGGATGCTTTGCCTTCCTTCTGGGTTAGCAGAATAGGGTTGCATCTACATTGTAGAATGAATACAGATTGACACCACTTTGACAGCCATGCCTCCATGCTGTGGAATGCTGGGGGCTGGCATTTTGCAAGGTTTGAACATGAAGGCAACCTATAGTTGTTGTGGCTATTTGTGGCTAGTAGCCATTGAGATACTTCCTTCTCATGCATTTGTCTTTCAAAGTTGCTGTCTATTACCATATTTTTGGGTACGAAATTCCATTGTTAGATATGTAGTCTGAAGACGTGTGTGCTTCTGTACAGAATCTACACTTGTTCTTCTGTATTGGATGAACACGTTGTGTTCTACTGTTATCAGAATTGGAAGAACCTTCACTGTCTCCACACCATACACACTTTTGTGTATTTCTGTTATGTCTTCTTCTGTTATTACATTTTCCCCCCGAGGCCTCAAACCTTTCAGTATTTCCTCTTGGAGAGTTCACTGAGGGCCCTTTCAGACAGACTCAATATCCCAGGATCTGATCCCAAGTTTTCTGTTTATCCCAGATTATCTGGCAGTGTGGACTCATATAATCCAGTTTAAAGCAGAAAACCTGGAATCAGATCCTGGGATATAGGGGCTGCCTGGAAGGGCCCTGAGCTTCTACTTAATTTGTAGTGCTCCCTTTGTTTAGTTTTGCAATGTTGGGAAATCAGTGCCCCTTGCTATTCATCCCATGTACTCTCTAGAGTAAACTCCAATACCTTAGCAGTCTCATACTGTCATTTTGTGGAGACTGGAGAAGGCTAATTTGGCATTCATATGGATATTTGGGGGTACTTATAAGGGGTGGGATCTGTTGCTTTCACCTGTTTTGTTTAGGTGCTTTCTGCGTAGTTTTAAGGCAAAATTGACAGATGTCACAGAAAATTAAAGGGGACTGTGGGGGAATTTAGAAGCCACAAAAATGGATCTAGGATAGTGTTTCTCAACATGAGGGTGGGGTCACCAGGGGATGTCAGAAGGGTTGCCAAAGACCCTCATAATAAGAATAGAATCATAGAATCATAGAATCAAAGAGTTGGAAGAGACCTCATGGGCCATCCAGTCCAACCCCCTGCCAAGAAGCAGGAATATTGCATTCAATTCACCCCTGACAAATGGCCATCCAGCCTCTGTTTAAAAGCTTCCAAAGAAGGATAAAACACAGTATTTTCTGTTGGTCATGGGGATTCTGTTTGGGAAGTTTGGCCCAATTCCATAATTGGTGGGGTTCAGAATGGTCTTTGATTGTAGGCAAACTATACATCCCAGCAACTACAAGTCCCAAATGTCAAGGTGTAATGTGAACACCAGTGTTCACATTTGGGCATATTGCGAATTCATGCCAAATTTGGCCCAGATCCATCATTGTTTGAGTCCACAGTGCTCTCTGGATGTAGGTGAACTACAACTCTAAAACTCAAGATCAGTGCCCACCAAACCCTTCCAGTATTTTCCGTTGGTCATAGGAGTTTGGTGTGCCAAGGCTGGTTCAATTCCATCATTGGTGGAGTTCAGAATGCTCTCTGATTGTAAGTGAACTATAAATCCCAGCAACCACAACTTGCAAACATCAAGCTCTATTTTCCCCAAACCCCACCATTGTTCACATTTGGGCATATTGAGTATTCGTGCCAAGTTTGGTCCAGATCCATCATTGTTTGAATCCATAGTGTTCTCTGGATGTAGGTGAACTACAGCTCTAAAACTCAAGGTCAGTGCCCACCAAACCCTTCCAGTATTTTCTGTTCATCATGGGAGTTTTGTGTGCCAAGACTGGTTCAATTCCGTCATTGGTGGAATTCGGAATGCTCTCTGATTGTAAGTCAACTATAAATCCCAGCAACTACAACTCCCAAATGACAAAATCAATCCTCCCGAACCCCAATATTCAAATGTGGGCGTATTGGGTATTTGTGCCAAATTTGGTCCAGTTAATGAAAATACATCCTGCATATCAGATATTTACATGACGATTCTTAACAGTAGCAAAGTGACAATTATGAAGTAGCAACAAAAATAATGTTATGGTTGGGGGTCAGCACAACATGAGGAACTGTATTAAGGGTCACGGCACTAGGAAGGTTGAGAAACACTGATCTAGGGTCTGCTTGAGCCTGTGAGCTTTTCCATCTCCATTCTCCTATTTGAGGATCAGCAGCCAGAATTGAGTTGTTCCCTGCAGAGAGATTGTCCTCCTCCAGAGTCTGGTATCCTGCTGGCAGTGTGACTTTGTTGTGAATTGTACCTGAAGGCAAGTGATGCTATGCACAGCACTTTCCCACCAGAGTCCCCTTTCACAGCATAGGTTGGACACGGCCCCTCAGCTGGTAATTGGATTATATGCCATCAGATAGCGCAGGCTCACTTTCTCCTCTGATCTGGGTTAACACAGGATGATTAGGAACTGCAGGAATGGAGCCTTTTCTGCAGTCAGTGCCTCCTCCTCCTCCTCCTCCTCCTCCCCCTTGTACTTGCTGAGCCTCTGTTTCTCTCTCTTCCTAGTTTACAGCCAAGCAGCTGGAGAAGCTTTCCAAGAAGGCAGAAAAGGACTCCAAAACCGAACAGGCCAAAGTCAAGAAGGTGATGGAGCTGAATGCTGTTGGTTACGTGATCCTAAAAGGACCCTTCTCTCTTTGTTTGTTTGGGAGGTGTCCCCTTATGGACAAGGAGAGGGCTAGGGCAATCTACAGCGGAGAGACTAAACATTTTTGTATGCCACTTCTTGGTTTCTCACCTCCATTCTGTGGTGTCTCCACCTCCAAGTTTTTTTGTTGTGTTCCCCATGAGTTCTAAAAAGCTTTGCTTTAAAAACCTCAGAATTTCTAATCTCTGTGATGCTGGGCTTCACATCTTAAGTGGATTCCAACCATGGTGGCTACCAAGCTTTTTAAACTGCCTGGCATTGTAGTCGTTGCCTCTATGTTTATGTCATGGGAGGTTCCCCCCCCCCCCCCCCAATATTTTAATCAAAATTTAAACCGAAAAAGAACACAAATAAAAACAACAGCAGTACTTATGCATACATAAACACAGACATACTTAGCAACAATGTCATATCAAATTACACAACATATATGTCTTCTCTCATTATATATAAGTCTAAACTGTGAACACCAACTGCTACTCTGGGGCCAGAGTGAAGAGGGGGAAGCCAACAAATAAGATATGTGCAGTGTGCATCATAGAATCATAGAATCAAAGAGTTGGAAGAGACCTCATGGGCCATCCAGTCCAACCCCCTGCCAAGAAGCAGGAATATTGCATTCAAATCACCCCTGACAGATGGCCATCCAGCCTCTGCTTAAAAGCTTCCAAAGAAGGAGCCTTCACCACACTCCGGGGCAGAGAGTTCCACTGCTGAACGGCTCTCACAGTCAGGAAGTTCTTCCTAATGTTCAGATGGAATCTCCTCTCTTGTAGTTTGAAGCCATTGTCCCGCGTCCTAGTCTCCAAGGAAGCAGAAAACAAGCTTGCTCCCTCCTCCCTGTGGCTTCCTCTCACATATTTATACATGGCTATCATATCTCCTCTCAGCCTTCTCTTCTTCAGGCTAAACATGCCCAGTTCCCTAAGCCGCTCCTCATAGGGCTTGTTCTCCAGACCCTTGATCATTTTAGTCGCCCTCCTCTGGACACATTCCAGCTTGTCAATATCTCTCTTTAATTGTGGTGCCCAGAATTGGACACAATATTCCAGATGTGGTCTAACCAAAGCAGAATAGAGGGGTAGCATTACTTCCTTAGATCTAGACACTATGCTCCTATTGATGCAGGCCAAAATCCCATTGGCTTTTTTTTGCCGCCACATCACATTGTTGGCTCATGTTTAACTTGTTGTCCACAAGGACTCCAAGATCTTTTTCACACGTACTGCTCTCGAGCCAGGCGTCCCCCATTCTGTATCTTTGCATTTCATTTTTCTGCCAAAGTGGAGTATCTTGCATTTGTCACTGTTGAACTTCATTTTGTTAGTTTTGGCCCATCTCTCTAATCTGTCAAGATCGTTTTGAATTCTGCTCCTGTCCTCTGGACTATTGGCTATCCCTCCCAATTTGGTGTCGTCTGCAAACTTGATGATCATAATAATATTATAACATATATTAATATAATTATAATATATTATGATATACTACCCATCCCCTGCCACGCATTGCTGTGGCTCAGTCTGTGTATATGTGGTTTGTGTGTATATATATGTGTGTATATATTTGTGTATATGTGTGTTTGCATATATATGTGTGGTTTTTTTGCATGTGTTGTAATGGGTTTTTTTCTTGGCTTTTTAAGTCTCTTTCGATGTGTTTTCCAGTATTTTTATGAGTGATGGCCACTTGTTGGCCTGATAGGTGTATTGTGTCCAAATTTGGTGTCAATTCGTGCAGTGGTTTTTGAGTTATGTTAATCCCACAAACGAACATTACCCTTTTATTTATATAGATAATAATAATATAACGCACACATATATAAATATTATATATTCTATTATATATTATAATATAATATAATCATACTTTTAATATAATAATAATATAATATAATAATAATATAACATATTAATATATTAATATAATATAATATATACGGTAATATATAAATATAATATATTATAACATATATAATATGATATACTAATATATATTGCTATGGACTATGATTTCGGGACTATGTGTTTTTAACTGCTTATTTAAATGTATTTAAATGCACAATGTAATTTGTATGGTGTTTAAAAATGCCTTAATGTGGCTTTCAGTTATTGCCAATTTGTAAGCCGCTCTGAGCCCCCTTCAAGATTGAGATAGAGCAGGGTAAAAATACAGTAAAAATTAATAAATATATACATAAATTGATTTTAAAAGTGGATTTGGTGCTTCCCTTTTTATTTCTCTAAATTTTAGTGGTTTTTTTCTTCCACCTTATATCCCACAAATCGTTTACTTCTGCTTGATTTAACATCCGCAAATAAATATCTCATCAGTTTATATTTCTAAACCTATAGATAAATCCTTTCCCTTTCCCTCTGATATATATTGATATAAAGGGCTTATGGGATGCTCTTTTCCTGAGTGTGTCCTGAATTCAGAAATGAGCAAGAACGGTTCTGTGTGGGTGAAAGCAGTTTTCAGAATGTGTAGGAAGCAGTGAAGATCTTTTAAGGTCTCCCGATCTGAGTGGATTCCATCTGAGGGTCTCCCTTATCCTTTTCTGTGCTCCAGGCACTTCAGCAGAAGAATGTGGAATGTGCCCGGGTCTACGCTGAGAACGCCATTCGGAAGAAGAACGAGAGCCTGAACTGGCTCCGCATGGCTTCCCGGGTGGATGCCGTGGCCTCCAAGGTCCAAACGGCAGTGACGATGAAAGGGGTAAGGAGCTGCTGGGTGATGGGGTTGCTCTACCCTTGTTCAAGGAAGTACCTAAAAGAAGGGCTCTGTGTCACCTTGGATGATACTATCAGAGTCTGGAAGATCTTGGAGTTAAAATCAAGCTCCACAGCAATAAAACGCTGGAGACAAGGGATGTATTCCTTCTTTCTGCAATCCTAAAAAGACAGTTCTAAAGTTTTCCTGCTCAAACCTCCTGTATATATCAGCCCCAACTCCCATTCGCCCCCTAGTGGCCAAACACTGTGACCACAGTCTGTTAATTGCAGTTTCAATTTCCTTCACAAAACAGATGTTTTATCTAGATTACCTTCCCCAACTGTAATCTGCCTTCCCCCCCCCCCCCCCCCCCCCCGGGCGCTTCTTTATGGCAGAGAATCATAGCAGGCTGATACGATGATCCTGATAGATGCTGTCCCTTTGAGAACAACCAGAAATTGGAAAAGTAATGTTGGGTGCCTATTACAATTCCCAGAACTCTTCAACTACAACCCGTGGTCACAATGCTTCTGCCTAAACATAACCTTTCTAATATCTAATTGCAGGTGACAAAGAATATGGCCCAGGTGACCAAATCCCTGGACAAAGCTCTCAACTCGATGGACCTCCAGAAGGTCTCTGCTGTGATGGATAAGTTTGAGCAGCAGGTTCAGAACTTGGATGTCCACACTTCAGTAAGTGGTTTTGTGTGCTGTTTAGGGGCCATCTATTATATAGACCAGTGTGTTGTGACTCAGCTGGAATTACAGAGTGATAGTGTCAATGATTCTGATGGGGATGATGGGATTCAGATTCACAGTCAGGTGCAAAGCAATGATGTCCCTGTGTTAGACAAAGAAGACCAGGAACAGAAGGCAGAAGTTCAGTTGTTTCCCACAGCAAGGGATGACGCTGGGGAAAGTGAAACTACTGAGAGCCAGGTGCATAATTCAGGAAGGGAGGATGGTTCTCAGCCAGATAGTGCTCAGCCAGATAATGAGGGGAAAAGCCCTAACGAGGGAATTGACCTTGATGAAGCCAGAGGTTTAGATAGAGCTGATAGGTTGGAATTTAAGGTTCGAAGGAATGTCAGGATCGCTAGCAGGTGAGAGAGGGAGGCTCGGGGCCATAGGAATGCCTTCATGTTGTCCAAAGAGTATTAAACAGGCTGTTTGAATATGCCTCAGTGTCAGAGCAACTTCCCGCTTCAACCAAGAGACTTTGGATTTATTTTGAAGCTTTCATGTTCATGTTTTAGGACTTTGTCATGTTCTCATGGGACTTTGCCTTGCCTGTGTCTTCATGGATCTTGTGTGCCTATGCTACCTTGGATTGATCTTTTGAAATATACTTTTGCCTTTTTGAACTTTTTATCTTTTACTTAAATAAACCATAAATACTACTGCTGGTGTGGTCTTTGGTGTCCTAAGCAAGGTGACTCTACTCTGAGGTGTGACAGTGGTTCCCAACCTGTGGGCCGCAGCTAACTGGTGGGCTGCGAGAACGAAAATAAGGTCCGTGGCTCTAGATTATTAAATATGGTTTTCTGCAGGCGAGCAGATAGTGATTACTGGATGGCATATGTTCTGTATCAGAAACTAGATCTGATATGGTCCATCCAATGCCATTTTCTGAATCAGCACCACAAATAACCAAACCAAATCTAAAGTTGACCAAAAACTGATTTGTAACTCTTTTGGTACTAATATTGGAGAGTGGTCTGTGGTTAAAATGATCCCTGGACAAAAAAAGGTTGGGAACCACTGCTGTAGCCCCTCAAGGTGTTATGGAGCATAGAATTGTAGAGTCCAGCCCTATCACGCCATGGAGGAAGGTCTGGATGGGCATTAAAAGCAAGCGTTGCTGTGAAGGCAGTTGTGAACTGAAGCCTGCATTTAAACAAATGGACAGGCCTTGGTTCAGGTAAGTTTAGCCACATTCCCTCATCCTTCTCTTTGCTGAAGGTCCACTCTCTGTTTGCCCGCAGGTGATGGAGGACTCCATGAGCTCAGCCACCACCTTAACCACGCCACAGGAGCAAGTGGACAGCCTGATTGTCCAGATTGCCGAGGAGAACGGCCTGGAGATCATGGACCAGCTGAATCAACTGCCCGAAGGGGCCTCGGCCGTGGGAGAGAGCTCCACGCGCTCCCAGGAGGACCAACTCTCACGGAGGTCGGTTTGCTTCCCAAAGGGCTGCGGTATTCATGCTGCTGTGTCTCAAGGGTCCAACGGATACTGTGCAGCACATGGTCCTGGGATGTCTTTAACACTTTTGATCTAAACCATTGTTGGTAGAGTTCAGAATGCTCTTTGATTGTAGGTTAACTATGAATCACAGAAACTACAACTCCCAAATGACTAAATCAATTTTTGAGTGATGGTCACACCTTGGGTTAGTAGATGTCTTGTGGCCAAATTTGGCAGCTGTTCGTCCAGCGGATTTTGAGTTATGATGTCACTCAAAACAAACAGAACATTTATATAGATAGATAGATAGATAGATAGATAGATAGATAGATAGATAGATAGATAGATTTTTGTTTGATTACATGTAATTAATTTATTGATGTTAGGTTTAATTTACAGATGTTAGGTCTTAATTTGATGTTAGGTTTTACTGTTCTTTTATATGTGGGGGGGTTTCTGGGATTTTATGTTAGTATCATGTGTTTCGTGTAGCCATTGAATGTTTGCCATTGTTATGCTGGAATCCGCCCTGAGTCTCCTCGGGAAGATAGGGCAGAATACAAATACAATTTTATTATTATTATTGTTATTATTATTATTATTTTACTGACAAAAGCACAGTATGTCACAGCAAACAAGATCTATATGCTGGATTTCGTATTATTATTATTATTATTATTATTATTATTATTATTATTATTATTTGAAACACAACAAGATGAGTCAACAGCAAACAAGATCACTGTTGTATTGGATCACGCGTTGGACATTTTCCAAGCGTCTAGGACGATGTGATGTATCGGCAAATAATGCGTGCAGATCCCAGTAAAGTGGCCTTTTGCAGCTGGCAGATGGTAATTTTGTCAGTGTCAATTGTGTTTAAGTGCAGGCCAAGGTTTTTAGGCACTGCACCCAGTGTGCCGATCACCACTGGGCCCACCTTGAAAGGCTTGTGCCAGAGTCTTTGCAATTCAATCTTTAAATCCTCATATCGTGTCAGTTTTTCCAGTTGTTTCTCTTAAATCCTGCTGTCACCTGGGATTGCAACATGGACAATCCATACTTTGTTTTTTAACACAATCGTAAGGTCAGGAGTATTGTGCTTCAAAACTCTGTCTGCCTGAATTCGGAAGTCCCAGAGTAGTTTGACGTTCATTTTCTGTAACTTTTTCAGGCATTAATAATAATAATAATAATAATAATAACAATAATTTTATTATTAAATTTTCTTATTATTGTCACAAAAGCACAGTATGTCACAGCAAACGAGATCTATATGCTGGATTTTGTATCACAAAATCACAAGTCGAACACTTCCCGAGCGTCTAGGACTGTATGATATATTTTCGAATGATGCGTGCAGATCCAAGTAAGGTGGCCTTTTGCAGTTGACAGATTGTGATTTTGTTGCTGTTTATTGTTTCCAAATGCTGACTGAGATCTTTTGGCACGGCACCCAGTGCGACAAATTTAAAATTTAATTTTATTATAATAATAATAATAATAATAATAATAATAATAATAATAATTTCATAATAATTATTATTAATAATAATAATTAAATTTTATTATTAAATTTATTATTATTATTATTGTTATTAAGCCAAGGGGAAAGTGGGAATGGAATGGAATGCCCTGAAAGGAATATTGAGCAATCTATTATCGATCCTTTTTGTCTTTAGCTATCTAATGTAAGAGGCTAAAAATGTTGTTTCCTCAATGTACCTGAGACCAGTCTCATAATTGTGCCCATTGACTACCATTTAAAAAAAATAATTCATTCTCACCTGTTGATTTCCTCCCTCTCCTTTCAGGTTGGCTGCCTTGCGGAACTAGCTCTCCCTCTCCCGTCACGGACTGTTGTTGCTGCTGCCTTGTTTGCCTATGATTTTGTGGGGATTACTTGAGAGGTTCCCCTCCGGCCTTCCTTCCCCTTCTCACAGCTCTCTTGTTCCTGCGACCAGAAAGGGGGCAGATCCCTCTGACTCCTCCAGGCCTGCTGGGGTCAACACTGGACTGGACCCCCTTTTGACTTCACTGTGGAGGCAGCTCTCTAGAGAAGCAGCATCAGTGGCGGATCTCTGTGCATGCGTGTCCCTTGGATTTTGGGGGAGAGAATGGCTGGGAGAAGGGAGGCAACTTCCTTGGGATGGATGTAGTTTGGATTCTGCCCACATGCTGTTCAGCCGACACTTCCCACCATCCTTGGTTTGGTGCTCATTGGCCTTGAGGAACGCATACGATTCAGACACTACTCTCTTGACCATTTCACATTCTTTAGAGGGATAGGACCCTTCTTCAGCGAGGTTTCTTTGTCCTAGTATCCCTCCTCGCTTGGTTCTCTTGAGTCCACTTTAGCCCATCGTTTTCCAGGAACTAGTTCCCGGTGAGTGGGAATTGTAGTTTTGAACCTTTGGGGAGGTTTTTGGTGTATTGTAGAGATGAGGCCTGTTGAAACTGGGTGAAATAAGCCTTGGATGTTTGTCAGGAAGGCGGGTGTTTCCCTTCTCCCAGAGGCCTTGGATTTGCACACCTCAAAGTGACCTTTGAACACCATGCTCCCTTTTTGTCTCCCTTTTTCCACCCATGTTCCTTCTTTTGGGGATGCCATTTACTCCTGTCACGTTTTGCTCAAGAGATCACAGCTGGGAGGGAGAGATCCCTTTTCCTCTTTCTGTGTATTGAAATGCTTTGGTCCTCTTCCCTCACTCGTTTCTTCAGAGGCATCCTTCTCAGTAAGACATTGACCTCTGAATGCAGTGGGTGGGAATGATGCATTATCTGTCTTGCTTGGACCTGCTTCTGATGGAAATGTACCATGAGACAGGGCTCTTTTTCCAGCTCAGTCCTCCCATAAAACCTTGCCAGAGCTCACCTTGGAGGGGCCCCTGGTCTTCCCATAGCCGCCGGTCATGTTCTCTCACTCTTGTATCTGCCAAGGTCCTGGTGGGAGGTTATTGTGGAACCTGATCCTCCAAGTTGCACTTTTGGGAAAGCTTTTTTCAAGGGAATGCTGGATTCTCCAGCTGTATCTTTGGGGGAATGGTCTTCTGCTGCCTTTTTTTTTTTTAGAAGAAGAAGAAAAAAATAAAAGTGAATGCTGTCATTTCTTCGATGTGGTTTTAAATAAACAAATTCTCTATAGTACTTACATAGACTCATTCAAGAGCCTGTCGCCTCTTTTCTTTAGCCATGGCTGAATCATTATTTATCTATTACTAGCCGTCCCCTGCCACGAGTTGCTGTGGCTCAGTCTGGTGATCTGGAAAATAAAATAATGAGAAAGTTTTGGTTTCTAATATATATAATTTCTTTATGCTTGTGGGTAAACAGTATTTCTTGTTGTTTCTTTGCCAGTGTTGATGTGGAGATTGTCTGGTTTGCCTACTCTGGAACATGCAACATATAATTGTCCTTCTTTAGGGGTCCCTTTCAAATCTATGATACTATATCTCTCTGTGTGTGTGAATCATATCTATCTATTTATATCTATGACTGGATGGTTCTTTATCAGGAGGGCTTTATGTCACGTTGCTAGGGCTCTGCCTTATTTAGGAAGAGATGAATCAAACTCCCAGTTTTATCAAATAGTTTAATTAAAATAGCACTTACTTGCTGGCTGTTTTTATAGTCCAAAATATAAAACATAAAGATAGCACTCAGCCACAGAATAAACAACAACTGATAGTACCTGGTATCCTTGAAGGGACTGGATTGACCTTGAAGGAGCTGGGGTGGCAACCCAAACAGGGAGCTCTGGCATGGGCTGGTCCGTGAGGTCACGAAGAGTCGGAAACGACTGAACGAATAAACAAAACAGTAACAAAAGAGCTGAGAGAGTGTTATTTGTCCAAATTCACCCTAAATGTCTCTATAGCTGGGCAGACATTTGAATGGTGATCCCCCGAAGTCTGACTCCAAAATAACAACAGCTCTATAATGCTGGCTCTCTTTTTGAAGTGTCTCTCAGTCATAGTTCTGAAGCTTAGCCTGTCATTGAACATCGAGAAAGCCAAAGTGCTCTTCCAGCAGTCACCAACCAATCCCTCTCCAATGCCAGAAATACAGCTTAATGGTGTAACATTAGAAAATGTTGATCGTTTCCACTACCTTGGCAGCCACCTCTCCACCAAAGTCAACATTGACACTGAAATACAACACCGCCTGAGTTCTGCGAGTGCAGCTTTTTTCCGAATGAAGCAGAGAGTGTTTGAGGACCAGGACATCCGTAGGGATACCAAGGTGCTTGTTTATAAAGCTATTGTCCTCCCAACCCTGCTTTACGCCTGCAAGACATGGACTGTCTACAGACATCACATGCAACTCCTGGAACGATTCCATCAGCGCTGCCTCCGGAAAATCCTGCAAATCTCTTGGGAAGACAAGCGAACAAATGTTAGAGTACTGGAAGAAGCAAAGACCACCAGTATTGAAGTGATGGTCCTCCACCATCAACTCCGCTGGACCGGCCACGTTGTCCAGATGCCCGACCACCGTCTCCCAAAGCAGTTGCTCTACTCCGAACTCAAGAACGGAAAACGGAATGCTGGTGGGCAGGAAAAGAGATTGAAAGATGGGCTCAAAGCCAACCTTAAAAACTCTGGCATAGACACTGAGAACTGGGAAACCCTGGCTCTTGAGCGTTCCAGCTGGAGGTCAGCTGTGATCAGCAGTGCTGTAGAATTTGAAGAGGCATGAATGGAGGGTGAAAGAGAGATATGTACCAAGAGGAAGGCCTCTCAAACCAACCCCGACCGAGACCGCCTTCCACTTGGAAACAAATGCCCTCACTGCGGAAGAAGATGCAGATCAAGAAGAGGGCTCCACAGTCACCTACGGACCCATCAGAACATTGATCTTGGAAGACTATCCTACTCAGACAATGAGGGATCGCCTAAGTAAGTAAGTAATTAAGTCTCCATGGCTCCTCTTTCCACGGTAAAGATGAGCGCTTTCTTTTCTGCCAGGAGCATCTTCCGCTGCCTGTAGTGTCTGTACAGCAGAAGCCCTGGCTACAAGTGAATTCTCCAATTTTCTATTCCTATCTTTGCAAGCACATGGATAGTGCCAGAGACAAAAGGTGGGACTCGGGGATGACGCAGATGATGGCAATCCACAAGCAGCCCTTACTCATTCCTTCAGAGAGCCTTTGCTGGAACAACCAGTTCTTGTCTTCTTTTCCTTGCTAAACAATCAGCTGGGCTCTGCAGGAAAATGTCATTGTCGCTAGAGGGTGTCCTCCCTGTTCCTAACAAAATCAGTGCCCTTTTCCTATGAGTCCATCTTCGGCACTAGAGGCAAACATTTGCAACATGCACAACTTCTGCAGATTTCATTAGGGTAATCTTTCTAGGAATTTCTAGGTCTCTAGCCCAAAACAATGGCAGGCGTTGGCCATAGGTTTGCATTGGAGGATCCTAGAAAGATTAAATACTATTCACACTTCTTTTTCCTTTTGTCAAAACAAAATTTATGTAGTGCAGAATTTGATGTGCATTAGCTCTTAACAATTCTGTGTCTTGCCTATAAACTGACTGAAAGTATTGATTTAAGTCAGCGTTTCCCAACCCGAGGGTTGGGACTCCTCGGGGGGGGGGGGGGGGGGGGGTCAGAGGGGTCACAAAGACCCCGCGTTGCTGTGACCCACAAGGGGGGGGGGTTCTGTGTGGGAAGTTTGGCCCAATTCTATCATTGGTGGGGTTCAGAATGCTCTTTGATTGTAGGTGAACTATAAATCCCAGCAACTACAACTCCCAAATGTCAAAGTCTATTTTCCCCAAACTCCACCAGTGTTCACATTTGGGCATACTGAGTATTTGTGCCAAGTTTGGTCCAGATCCATCATTGCTTGAGTCCACAGTGCTCTCTGGATATAGATGAACTACAACTCCCAAACTCAAGGTCAATGCACACCAAACCCTCCCAGTATTTTCTGTTGGTCATGGGAGTTCTGTGTGCCAAGTTTGGTTCAATTCCATCGTTGATAGACTTCAGAATGCTCTTTGATTGTAGGTGAACTATAAATCCCAGCAACTACAACTCCCAAATGTCAAGGTCTATTTTCCTCAAACTCCACCAGTATTCAAATTTGAGCATATCAGGTATTTGTGTCAAATTTAATTCCGTGACTGAAAATAAATCCTGCATATCAGATATTTACATTATGATTCATAACAGTGGCAAAATGACAGTTGTGAAGCAACAACTAAAATAATGTTATGGTTGAGCATCACAACATGAGTAACTGGATTAAGGGGTGGCAGCATTAGGAAGGTTGAGAAACACTGCATTAGGAGATTGGAACCATATGGGACCATCTATATTTGGTCTGGATAAGCTCAATAATAGGAGGGAAAGTCTCCTTTAGAGAGCCATTTCTCGTCTTATCTCCTTATCTGAAGCTTAGCCTTGGCACCATTCAAAGGGAAGGACAGAGTTGTTTTCCTTAGAGCCATTGCTAAGCTTTTGGGCCTTGTGAAGCAAGCGCATGGCACACAATGCGCTTCCTCATTTGCACAAATGCAAGGAGACTAGGGCTGGATCTACACCATCCTGTTGAGAACCACTGATTTAAGTTGACTTAGTATTGTATTTCTCTGGAAACTCCCATCTATTGTCCACATTCATAAATTGCGTGTGTGTGTGTGTGTGTGTGTGTGTAGAGGTGGGGGGAAGTTGGGAATGGCATCTTGCTCAATATTTATAAAAGATAAAGTCTTCTAGCCCTCAAATAAGGGATATCTCTGATAATAATGATGCCGAATCCGCCCCAGACCCCTGCTTTCCAGCTGATCTGACCAGCTGCAGGGGGTTCCGCAGTTCCTGAATGCCCCATTGGGCCAACTCTGATGAAATGTGCCCCAGCAGCAGCCTCAACCAGGGACTCTTTGCAACCTTGAGCTCTCTCCTTTTGCTTTTCTCCCCAGCCCAAACATTGTAACAAAACCCCCAATAAAGACTAATTGAATTGTAACCTTCACCTCTCCATAGTGATACATTGTGTCTATTTCCTGACTCACAAGTATCAAATGCATGAACTTACCGTTTTCCAGGCTACGAGCAGCCGCCGGCCCACCTGGGATGCCTTCCAGGCATCCCAGGGAGGCCGAATCTGCGTTTCTTTAAACCGCGGATACGGAAACCCCTCGGGCCCCCGCATCCGCGAGTTAACCAAACGACTCCATTTTGGTGCCATATTTTTTCCTAGCTAAATTCTAACACTATCTGATATCTCGCTTTTTGCATTTTGGGCTCCTATGCTCTGGGAATAATCTTTTTATTTTTGAGAATATATTTAAAAGAGAAACAGCTGGTTGTCAAACTGAGCTTCCTGCTGCTGCGCTGCTCCCGCCGTCGCTTCTTCGTCCTTCTGGAGCCCCAGGACCCGGAGACTTGATGTGATCATCCCATGAGACCTTCGGGGAGTGGATCTGCCATCTGGTTCCAGTCCTTGGAGGGAATTACAGTTCTCCAAGGACCAAAGGACAAGCTTCGGCCCCAGTGATACAGAGCTCCATATCTTGACTCAGTGGAATCGCTAAGCCTTTCCTTATGATTTTTTTGAACCTTTTTGCCCCACATCAAGGACTTTCCTCCCATTTATGGACATACTTTCATCTATGGATTTTCTTATAATGAACTATGGACATATATTGAGCCATGATCAAGGCTCTTATCAATTTCTCTATGGGACACTGGGGGGAGGGATAAGGGGGTATGTTTTCTGTATCATAATTTCTATATTTCTATATTTCTCCCTCTGTATCTGACCTTTTCCTGACCCTTTTGCCCAATTCCCTTTTATTGAAGATGTATAAAAAATATAAGAAGCCACCCTCCATGACCCTGGAAAGAAGGAAATCCTCAGTTGAAAAGACCCTTATCAAAAGACACTTTTTGCATGGACAATAACAATGGATCGTGACCTTTGGGGCTTGGAGTTGGTCCCCCCAGGGGAGGCGGTCGCTTGGCATTGATGATTATATCTCAATAGGACAAAACAGGGCTTTGGAAAGCCACACTTTATCATGATCTGTTACTCATTTAAATCTTCCTCCACCAAAACTTCAGCCAGATTTCCTCATTGTTCCCATATCTCGGCACCCAGAAAATCCAGATCTGGCAGGCTCGCCAGACATCAATGTTTATTGCTTTCAATCATAGACAATAGAATTGGCTGGCTCGCAGGCCCCCGGGACTCGCTGACCGCTTGGACATTTCCTATCTCCATAATCCTCTGAAGAATCCATTGTTTCCCTCTTGTCCCACCTCCCTCTCTCCTGATTACTCAGGAAGCTGAAGCGGCAGAAGCTCAGCCATTGGCCCAGGTGCTCGGAAGGCGGCCAAGCCTCCTTCCAGCTGTAGCGCGCCAGCCAATCATCGTTGAACCGGCAGAGGGGCTGGGAGCGGGAAATTCAAATCTGACAGGTCTGTTTATGTATAAAAAAGGCTTTTATTTGTGTTCATGTTATGCTTTGCTTGGTGAATTATTGCAGATTTGCATCCTTTCCAGTTGGATCACAATAAAATCAACTTGGTGGCGCTTCCTTCAACTTTGGTGAGATTCTTTTGGGAACTTAGGGAAATCTTTTCAATTGCGGCTTCTCTTTGCTCACCATTGTAGGGTCTGCAAGGTCTCTCCTTCAGGGCAAGACCCTTTTAAATTCTTCCTTGACTTCATTAAGGGATACTTGCAGGACATGTCAGGGGCATGCTTTCCAGCCTTTAAAGAAGGGAGAGTCCTTGTGAAAGCGATGCTTTGCACCTCTGTTTCAATCTGACTCACACAGCTGTTGGTGGCTTTCGTCCTTTGTTTTTGGGGTTTATTAGAAAGCAGTGAAGAGATGTCTTGGGAAAGTTGTTAAGGGGAAGGCCAAAAATAGCGTGTCCGGCAGGCTTTGGGCAGCATGAGGCTAAGACTTAAGTTAATGAAGATGATAAAGAGTTCTGATAGGAGCCATGGGGCAATGGCAGAGCCTCAGAGTTCATGGCAGAGAACAGGGCGCTATATATATGTCTCTATCTATCTATCTATCTATCTATCTATCTATCTATCTATCATCTATCTCTGTGCAATGAATGGCAGTGGCTGGCTTGTGGCTGGCTTTATGTATATGTGTGTATGTATGTGTATGAGTATAAGCATGTGTGTATATGTATAAGTGTATGTGTGCATATGAATATGTACATATGTATGCATATATGTTTGTATATTTGCATATGTGTCTATGTGTATGTACCCCTCTATTCCGCCTTGATTAGACCACACCTGGAATACTGTGTCCAATTCTGGGCACCACAGTTGAAGAAAGATATTGACAAGCTGGAATGTGTCCAGAGGAGGGTGACTAAAATGATCAAAGGTCTGGAGAACAAGCCCTATGAGGAGCGGCTTAAGGAGCTGGGCATGTTTAGCCTGAAGAAGAGAAGGCTGAGAGGAGACATGATAGCCATGTATAAATATGTGAGAGGAAGTCATAGGGAGGAGGGAGCAAGCTTGTTTTCTACTTCCCTGGAGACTAGGATGCGGAACAATGGCTTCAAACTACAAGAGAGGAGATTCCATCTGAACATGAGGAAGAACTTCCTGACTGTGAGAGCCGTTCAGCAGTGGAACTCTCTGCCCCAGAGTGTGGTGGAGGCTCCTTCTTTGAAAGCTTTTAAACAGAGGCTGGATGGCCATCTGTCAGGGGTGCTTTGAATGCAATATTCCTGCTTCTTGGCAGTATGGGGTTGGACTGGATGGCCCATGAGGTCTCTTCCAACTCTATGATTCTATATATGTATAAGTGTGTATATGTCTGTATATATGTAAACGTGTATATCTCTGTATGCATATATGTGTGTATATTTGCATATGTGTCTATGTGTATGTATATATGTATAAGTGTGTATATATGTCTTTATATGTATAAGTGTGTACATATGTGTATGTACAGTATATGTAAATGTGTATGTCCATTTATGTATATGTGTGTATGAGTATAAACATGTGTGTATATGTATAGGTATATGTGTGCATATAAATATGCACATATGTATGCATATATGTGTGTATATTTGCATATGTGTCTATGTGTGTGTATATATGTATAAGTGTGTATATATGTCTTTATATGTATAAGTGTATATATATATGTGTATGTACAGTAGATGTAAATGTGTATGTCCATTTATGTATATGTGTGTACGAGTATAAACATGTGTGTATATGTATAGGCATGTGTGCATATGAATATGTACATATGTATACATATATGTGTGTATATTTGCATATGTGTCTATGTGTATGTATATATGTAAACGTATATATCCATATATGTATATGTGTATGTATATATGTGTGTATATGTATATGTGTGGATGTGTGTATATGTGTGTGTGTGTGTGTGTACATGTATACATGTGTGTATATATGTGTATGTATATATGTAAACGTGTGCATATGTACATGTCTGTGTATATACATCTATCTATTTTTAAAATCCTGCATATGAGGATTAAAGGACTGCAAACCTTTCAAAAACCCTAGAACACACTCCTTGCATCTGACAAAGCCATTCTCCAAAGCTAACTGAGTGATGACGTGGTTACAAAACAGGAGACTTGGCTTGGTTTGGGGGCATCCCAAACCCGGCCTCAAGCATCGGGTGCCACAGACCTCAAGCTGTCTTTCTGTGCCACAAGACAGGTCCACAACCTGCTTGTGTATGTGCTAGTCAGATTTCTGCAGGAGGTGTGTTGTTTTCCTGCCTCTTTCCAGGGTCAAGGCAAAGGGCCTGGCGGAGGGAGAGAGACTGACCCTCTTTCGCTCCATGTCCCACGCAGGAGCCTCCCTCTGTGCTGCTGCAGCCAACGAGGCAAACGCCATCGGAAGCCAGGTCTGCCCAGGCAGGTGCCCGCCTCCGCCACAGGCTGTTCTTGAAATGCCAGCGGAAGATGCTAATGAGCCGGTTGATGAGCTAATTAATTGGCTAATGAGGAAGGAGCGCTTGGGCAGGGGCCAGGGAATGGGAACAAGGCAGCACCACCTGGGCTTGGCATCACCGTGGGCCAAGCTCCTTTGGGAGACCTTCTTTCAGCACCTTCCGACTCCATTGGTTGTTATTCAGCATCACTTTTCATCATTTTCTCCCATTTTGGTGCATTTTTGTCCTCTCTTGAGTGATATGAAAGTAGATTCTGGGTTGTTGTGAGTTTTCTGGGCTGTATTGCCATGTTCCAGAAGCATTCTCTCCTGACATTTCACCCACATCTATGGCAGGCATCCTCAGAGGTTGTGAGGTCTAATGGAAACTAGGAAAATTGGGTTTATATATCTGTGGAATGTCCAGAGTGGGAGAAAGATCCTCTGAGGATGCTTGCCATAGATGCAGGCGAAACGTCAGGAGAAAATGCTTCTAGAATATGGCCATATAGCCCGAAAAAACCTACAACAACCCAAAGAACACTTTGTCTGTTGGAGGTAGGTAGGTGTGAATGTTTCAATTGGCCACCTTGATTAGCATTTAATGGCCTTGCAGCTTCAAAGCCTGGCTGGTTGCTGCCTGGGGAAATCCTTGGTTGAGAGGTGTTAGCTGGCCCCGATTGAGTCATGTCTGGAATTACCCTGTTTTCTGGTAAATACTGGTAGCCGGATTTTGTTCATTGGTTCATTTTCATAGTTTCCTCTTTTCTATTGAAATTATCCAGATTCTTGTGGATTTCAATGGCTTCTCTGTGTAGTATGACATGGTCGTTGTGAGGGCCAGCTAACACCTCCCAACAAAGAATTCTCCCAGGCAGCAACGGCCTAGCAGTTTCAAGGTCTGGCTTCTTACTGTCCGGGGGGCAATAAGAACTCTAAAATCAGAACAGTAAATAAAGTACAACACTCAAAAACAGGGGAATTCCAGACAAGAAACCATCAGGGCCAGCTAACACCTCCCAACAAAGAATTCTCCCAGGCAGCAATGGCCTAGCAGTTTCAAGGTCTGGCTTCTTACTGTCCATGGGCAATAAGAACTCTAAAATCAGAACAGTAAATAAAGCACAACACTCAAAAACAGGGGAATTCCAGACAAGAAACCATCAGGGCCAGCTAATTACCTCCCAACAAAGGATTCCCCCAGGCAGTAATAAGCCAGTCCTTGAAACTGCTAGGCTATTACATGCAAATAAAGGAGGCCAATTGAAACATTCACGCCTACCTCAAACAGACAAGAGTTCTTTCTCCCACCCTGGACATCATTCCACAGATATATAAACCATTTTTTCTTAGTTTCCAACAGACCTCACAGCCTCTAAGGATGCTTGCCATAGATACAGGCGAAACGTCAGGAGAGAATGCTTCTGGAACATGGCCAGACAGCCTGGAAAACTCACAGCAACACAGTGATTCCTGTCATCAAAGCTTTCAACAATACAGAGTAGGTTCTGCCATAGCCTTGGTTTTAGTTTTTTTTTCCTTTCTAAAATAGATTTATTAAATTTCCACAATATACTGTATACAATATTACAATACAGCAGCAAATCACAGTTTAAAATTTCGCCTTCTCCCATCTGCTCTGTTCCAAGTCACAGAGGTTTATACACTCCTTCCCTGCCAGTTCTCTTAGTAATAATTATCCTTTATTATGTTGCCCAATTTTACTCATTACAGTCCTATCTTCCTCTGGTTAATTAACTAAAATCTCATTTGATCTGAGGATGGGTTGAATTGGCTATTGCTTGGTCCATAGAGCTGATAGAGCTATAAGAGCTTGGTCCTGTAGATCAGGCATGGGCAAACTTCGGCCTTCCAGGTGTTTTGGACTTCAACTCCCACAACTCCTAACAGCCTTCTGGCTGTTAGGAGTTGTGGAAGTTGAAGTCCAAAACACTTGGATTCGCTTGGCTGAATCTCATGCAGCCATGATGTCTGGAACAGGTTTTCAGGAAATCTCCTCCTCTCCTTTGAGGCCAACTAAGTTGTCGGGTTTCCTAGAGGAGAAACAGGAATGAGAGAAGGAAGACGAGGCCGATGGGTCGGAGCCTGGGATGGTCACCCTTGTTTGAGTAGCCATAGTCGGTTCGGCATTCCCCTTGGATAGCCTTGAAATCGATGGGATCGTCATCAGCTTTCTGGGCCTTCTCATCCCGGACCTGGAAAGAAAGATGGGATTGAGGTCATCTGTGGGGGAAGGTGTTGGTAAGGCTGTGGAGATGGAGGTTGCATTGGAAGGGACCCCCATTGGGCCATGGAAATTGAAGGGCTTCAATGAACAATGGCATTGGAAGGGAACCACCTTGGAAACTGAAGTGCTTCCATGGACCATGGCGTTGGAAAGGACTACATGGAGCATGGAGTTAGAAGAAAGAACTACATGGGTTTGGAAGAGACCAAAGGAACCATTGAGTTGGAAGGAAGGAAGGAAGGAACCCATGTACCATTGAGTAGGAAGGAACCCCCATGGACAGGGAAAATTGAAGGTCTTCCATCAACTATGACATTGGAAGGGACCATCATGGAAACTGAAGTGCTTCTACGGACCATGCTGTTGGAAAGGACTACATGGAGCATGGTATTAGAAGAAAGAACTACATGGCTTTGGAAGAGACCAAAGAAACCATTGAGTTGGAAGGAAGGAAGGAACTCATGTACCATTGAGTAGGAAGGGGCCCCAATGTACCGTGAAAATTGAAGGTCTTCCATCAACCATGCCATTGGAAGGGACCACCATGGAAACTGAAGTGCTTCCATGGACCATGGTGTTGGAAAGGACTACATGGAGCATGGAGTTAGAAGAAAGAATTTCATGGATTTGGAAAAGATCATATGTCTTGTGTTGGGAAAAAAGGAACCCATATACCATTGAGTAGGAAGGGACCCCCATGGACAGTGAAAATTGAAGGTCTTCCATCAACCATGACAGTGGAAGAGACCACCATGGAAACTGAAGTACTTCCATGGACCATAGCATTGGAAAGCACTACATGGAGCATGGAGTTAGAAGAAAGAACTTCATAGATTTGGAAGAGAGCACATGAACTATTGTGTTGGAAAGATGGAACCCATGTACCATTGAGTAGGATGGGATCCCCATGGACCGTGTAAATTGAAGAGTTTCCATGAACCATGGCATTGGAAGGGACCATTGTGGAGCATGAAGTTAGAAGAAAGAACTCCATGGGTTTGGAAGAGACCCCAGGGATGATTAAGTGGGAAGAAAGGAACCCATGGAGCATGAAGCTGGAAGAAGGAACGCTACAGGCCATGGGTTTAGAAGGAACTTTATGGAAATGGAATGGGTGCAATGCACCATGGAAGGGACACAATGGAGAATGGATATGCCAGAGACTGTGAGGATGGAAGACAGGAACCCAAGGATCATGGCATTGGAAGAAGGGACTCCACGAGCCTTTGGCACAATGGAGGATCTCCTGCGAAAGCATCATCCCCAGCTTGCTTGAGGGGTTGAGGGTCGCCTTTATAAACTCTTCTGGGGCCTCACCTGCTCCACTCTCCGGAGAACTCTCAGGAGGTTATCAGCCAAAGCGCCCTTGACCTCGTCCTCCGTCCAGTTCCGCCTCAGCAGCTCTGCCACCAATTTTGGGTATCCGGAGACGTCCTTCAGGCCATCGGGGAGCCTGCAGGAAGACCCAGAGAGAACTCTAGTGAAGACACCTGGGTTTTCCTTCAGGGACCTTCCCCCTCTTTTAAGTCCAAAGAGACAGAACTCCCCATAACCACGTAGGATGGAGACTACTCAGGTGGAAATAGCTGAAACACTCCTGCGTAGAGTATACATCTGCTAGTGGAGTTATTTTACACTTGCATTAAGCAAATCCCACTTTAGATCCCATCTCATCTTGGAAGCTAAGCTGGGTCAGCCCTGGTTAGTACTTGAACGGGATACCACCAATGAATCCCAGGCTGGACTTTTGTATCATAAGTATATTGTATTAAATATATTTTGCTTTAATCCTAGAACATAGTTTAATTCCCTGTCCCTGTCCATGTTGATCCTAGGTGAGTCACACTCTCTCAGCCCCACAAAGCCCCATGATGGGGTCACTGTAAATCAGGACTGACATGAAGACGCGCAAGAACAAGGTGCCTTCAGAAAAAGTGGGGTATAAATAAAATAAAGTGGCAGTTGCCAAGAATCACTAGCTTTTCTGATAGGATTTTGACCTTAAGCCTGAACAAAATCTTTGGGCCAAACCAAACTGGACCTGGCATACAACATATAAACCCCAAAACACACATTCATCCTCCTCCTTATACCTGGAAACACCATCATAGTCTCCTCCGAAGCCAACGGCGCCTGGCCCAGCGATGCGTTTGATGTGGTCCAAATGATCTGAAAGTGAACAGAGTGGGTGGCAACTCAGTATTTTGGAGGTTTCAATCCCAGCCTTTCTCGTTCACCTGTGCCAGACTCACCTGCTACCTGCGAGAGCGTGGCGTCATGACTGCAGGAAACATAGTCGTTATAGAAGTTCACCATCACGAGGCTGTTGGTCTTATTCTGTAAAGAAGACAATACGTTGAGCCTCAGAAGCCCCCTCTTACCTCCGTCTTGGTCCAAATAGGATTGGTTTGCTTTAGGCGTTGCTTTGTTCTGCATCCTCCTATTGTAGTGTTTCTCAACCTGGGGGTCAGGACCCCCCGGGGGGGGGGAGGGTCATGAAAGGAGTGTCAGAGGGGTCGCCAAAGACCATCAGAAAATGCAGCATTTTTATTGATTCTGTTGGTCATGGGGGTTCTGTCTGGGAAGTTTGGCCCAATTCTATCATTAGTGGGGTTCAGAATACTCTCATTGTAGATGAACTATAAATCCCAGTAATGACAACTCCCAAATGTCAAGTTCTGTTTTCTCCAAAGTCAACCACTGTTCACAATTGAGCATATTGAAGATTCGTGTCAAGTTTGGTCCAGATCTATCACTGTTTGAGTCCACAGTGCTCTCTGGATGTAGGTGAACTACAACTCCAAAAATCAAGGTCAATGCCCATCAAACTCTTCCAGTATTTTCAGTTGGTCATGGGAGTTCTGTGTGCCAAATTTGGTTCAATTCCATCATTGGTGGAGTTCAGAATGCCTTCTTACACTTTATTATGGAGAGTATGTGCTGTGTGCTTTGAGATGTCTCTCTGCTTGTGTGTCAGGAGAGATGCAGAGATTGAGTTTTTCCCTCTCTCGAAACCTTAGAAGAGATGGGTGTTAGACCCAATTCTTGATTATCAAGAAATGCAGTTATTTCTTATTATTGTAAATAAACCTTTTGTAATTTTTTAAATATTGGGCTCTGCATGTTTGCCTCCTAAGCTCTGAATTCTTTCCAGCCACATCACACGGCACTTCACACTCTGCTCGTTAATGAACTGATGCTCAACTTTAGTATTGTGTTTATGTTTTTGGATGCTCTGCTATATTTTAGGGAAGTTTTTTCCTAACAAACCCCAGGCCGTGAAATATCCTGGTCCACCCCTTCATTTGCTCCTGCTTCTTCCCCAGAACATTGGGCTCCCATTATGGACCAAGGCTGCCCCTTTCTCCAAGCTCATATCCTTCAGTGGTCCAGACTGTGCATGGATTCCTTCCCATTTCTCTCTTAAAGCCTCTGTTCAGTGGGAGACTGAAGGTCAAAATATGGTCCCCACTAATTTTGGCCTTGGCGCCTCTCACAACAGGAATCCACCCTGAATGCAGCGCAAAAGGCTTCTATGTTTCTGCTCACCACTTTGAGAAGCACCTCGTCTGGCACATTGCGCTTATGTTTGCAAATGGCATAGGCAGAGGAATGGCTGAAGACCACTGGGGCCTCGGAGATGTCCAGCGCCGCGTTCATGGTCTCCACCGAGACATGGGCCAGGTCCACCATCATGCCCAGGCGGTTCATTTCCTTGACCACTTTCTGCAGGGAAGAGCAAGGGCAGAAAGTGTGTTGTCAATGGCTGTCATGGCAAGAATCACTACATTGCTGTGACTGGGTTGTTGTGAGTCTGACCTCACAACCTCTGAGGATGCCTGTCATAGATGCAGGTGAAAGGTTAGGAGAGAACGCTTCCGGAACATGGCCATATATTGTTGAAGGCTTTCATGGCTGGAATCACCGGGTTGTTGTAGGTTTTTCAGGCTATATGACCATGTTCTAGAAGCATTGTCTCCTGATGTTTTGCCTGCATCTATGGCAAGCATCCTCAGAGGTTGTGAGGTCAGACTCACAACCCAGTCACAGCAATGTAGTGATTTGAACCGCTAACTTTCAGTAAGCAAGTTCAGCAGCTCAGAAGTTCAACCCACTGTGCCACCAGGAGCGCCATCCATACACACCTACACACACATAGATATAAATATACATATTTGTTGTTCATTCGTTCAGTCGTCTCCGACTCTTCGTGACCTCATGGACCAGCCCACGGCAGAGCTCCCTATTGGCCGTCACCACCCCCAGCTCCTTCAAGGTCAGTCCAGTCACTTCAAGGATGCCATCCATCCATCTTGCCCTTGGTCGGCCCCTCTTCCTTTTACCTTCCACTTTCCCCAGCATAATTGTCTTCACTAGGCTTTGCTGTCTCCTCATGATGTGCCCGAAGTACTTCAACTTTGTCTCTAGTATCCTTCCCTCCAATGAGCAGCCGGGCTTTATTTCCTGGAGGATGGACTGGTTGGATCTTCTCGCAGTCCAAGGCACTCTCAGAACTTTCCTCCAACACCACATATACATATACATATACACATATATATACACATATATACATATACATAGATATATATTTCCAAAAAGCAAAGTTTGATTTGGCCATTTTTATATAAGGGATCAAGCCATTTTACTCTGCCATTGTATACAATGGGACTTGAGCATCCATGACTTTGGGCATCCTGGAACCTGTGGATACATATCCATGTTGCATCCGTACTTACAGACAACAAACTCATAATTGCATAACATAAAAACCGATGGTAAAAATTAAATGGGATAATCATGTTAACACCGTATGAAATCACTTTGAAAGCATGACACAGATGAAAGTGCAGCGCACACATCCTGAAAATCCCCCAATTTGTGCAACTAGACTCATAAATCTCCTTAGCCTTGAAGTCCTGATGCCTTGGCAGAAAAGCAACCTTCTCTCCGCTGAGTCTGCACTCACCTTCCCAAAATTGGTCAGGCCATGATGGACAGGGTTTTCCTGATTGGTGTCCACTAACCAGTTATCTGCCCTGTAGAAGAAAAAAAATGTGCCAAATGAGAGGGGCATGGAAATTGCGGCACTTTTTGCCATCCAGAGAAGGAAGCATCATGCACATATCTGCAAGATGCTTGCCCTGATGGAGAGATGTCTCCATGTTAGGTTTGGAGCCCCCGGTGACACAACGGGTTAAACCAGTGATTCTCAACCTTCCTAACGCCGTGACCCCTTAATACAGTTCCTCATGTTGTGGTGACCCCCAACCATAACATCATTTTTGGTGCTACTTCATAACTGTAATTTTGCTACTGTTGTGAATTGTAATGTAAATATCTCATATGAAGGATGTATTTTTATTCACTGGACCAAGTTTGGCACAAATACTCATTATGCCCACATTTGAATACGGGTGGGGTTGGAAGGGGGATTGATTGTGTCATTTGGGAGTTATAGTTGCTGGGATTTACAGTTCATCTACAATCAAAGAGCATTCTGAACTCCGCCAATGATGGAATTGAACCAAACTTGGCACACAGAACTCCCATGACCAACAGAAAATACTGGAAGGGTTTGGTGGGCATTGGCCTTGAGTTTTGGAGTTGTAGTTCACCTACATCCAGATAACACTCTGCAAATAATGATAGATCTGGACCAAACTTGGCATGAATACTCAATATGCCCAAATGTGAACACTGGTGGAGTTTGGGAAAAATATACCTTGACATTTGGGAGTTGTACTAGCTGGGATTTATAGTTCACCTATAATCAAAGAGCATTCTGAACCCCACCAACAACAGAATTGGACCAGACTTCCCACACAGAACTACCATGACCAACAGAAAATCCTGTTTTCTGATGGTCCTTGGTGACCCCTCTGACACCCCCTTGCGACCCCCCCAGGGGTCCCAACCCCTAGGTTGAGAAACACTGGGTTAAACCCTTGTGCTGGCGGGACTGCTGACCAACAGGTCAGTGGTTTGAATTCGGGGAGGGTGGGTTGAGCTCCCTCTGTCAGCTCCAGCTCCCCATGAAGGGATATGAGAGAAGCATCCCACAAGGATGGTAAAACATCAAACATCCAGGGGTCCTTGCAGACGGTGAGTTCTCTCACACCAGAAGCAACTTGCTGTTTCTCAATTTGCTCCTGTAACACACACACACACACACAAAACCCAACAGATTTAAATGTGTTGTCCAAGGTCCTGAGCCTATTCCAGGGGGGAGAAAGTACCTTTCCAAACCCACCCTTTTATATAAACAGTCTGCACATGGGTTCAGTGAGGTAGAGCTTTGCAAACAGACTTGTCAAGAGGCACAGAAATTGCCAGGCCGTTAGCTGCATGGAGTAGCGAACAACATGTACGTGTCTGCATGATAATAATCCCGGTGGAGTGGCGACTCCTTCTTTGGTTTTAGTCTGTACCTTAAATGTGCCACCTAAGGTCCTGAGCCTATTCTAGGGAAGAAAGTATATTTTAAACCCCTTTGGAGAGTATCTTTCAAAGCAGTGTTTCTCAACGTTTCGCAATGCTGCAAACCCGTAATCCAGTTCTCCATGTTGTGGTGACCCCCAACCATAACATTATTTTTGTTGCTACTGTAATTTTGCTACTGTTATGAATTGTAATGTAAATATCTGATATGCAGGATGTATTTTCATTCACTGGACCAAAATTGGTACAAATACCCAATACGCCCAAATTTTATGGGGCTGGGGGGGGGGGGGTTGACTTTATCATTTCGGAGTTGTAGTTGCTGAGATTGATAGTTCACCTACAATCAAAGAGCATTCTGAACTCCACCAACAATGGAATTGAACCAAACTTGGCACACAGTTCTGCCATGACCAACGGAAAATAATGGAAGGGTTTGGTGGGCATTGACCTTCAGTTTTGGAGTTCTAGTTCACCTACATCTAGAGAGCACAGTGGACTCAAACAATGATGGATCTGGACCAAACTTGGCACAAATACTCAGTTTGGCCAAATTTGAACACTGATGGAGTTTGGGGAAAATTTGGGAGTTGTAGTTGCTGGGATTTATAGTTGACCTACAATCAAAGAGAATTCTGAACCTCACAAATGATAGAATTGGGCCGAACTTTCCACAAAGAATCCCCATGACTAACAGAAAATACTGCATTTCCTAATGGCCTTTGGCAACCCTCTGACACCCCCTCACAACCCTCCCAGGAGTCCTGGACCCCAGGTTGAGAAACCCTGTTTTAAAGACAAAGTCTTTGAATCTGCACAGAGCCATGGGCCAAATTTTCCAGAGCTTTGTAAGGAGAATCGAGAGTCAAACTCTGATCCATATGAATGGCAACATTGCCCACTTACCAGGGAGTGTTGCAGCTGTGGGTCAGGGTCATGTATCGAACGCCCAGCAGGTAGAAGGTGCGCAGGACAGCCATGCTGCTGTCAATGGAGTGGCCACCCTCCACCCCAATCAGGCTGGCCACCCGGCCAGCAGTAAAGGCCCTCTCGATGCCTGCAAAAGGAGAGTTCATAGGTCAAGAAAAGGTATATCAACTTTCCAAGAGGTAGATATAATCCACAGGCAGAAATGCTTCCCTTTTGTATGCTATTCGGGGTTGTATAGATGGTCCAGAAGTGCGGAGGCCCGTTGTTCACAGTCCTCTTTTGCAGCTTCCTTACCTGTGCTGTTGGTGACACACTCAAAGGCCTCTGGGTAGAGCTGGCACATGCGGTGAACGACGTCAATCTGTTCCAAGGTTCGCTTTACGGCATCCTTGTTCTGGGTTTTGCAGGGAACATAGGCGGCCCAGAACTGAGGAGGAGGAAACCAAGCAAAGTTTATTTTATTTATTTTGTATCAAAAGCATTCCAAACATAAGTATAAAACTTATAAAAATAGAAGGAGCACAAACGGCTAGATAATTTTTGACCAAAACTGGGCAACAGTGACCGCATTGTCTCTAGCTTTAAACAATTCTTCTTCTGTACATGGGGCAGGGCATTGTGAACAAGCATATTCACATATGTTCACATTTGGCGGTATTGAGTATTTGTGCCAAGTTTGGTCCAGATCCATCATTGTTTGAGTCCACAGTGCTCTACCTGGATGTAGGTGAACTACAACTCCAAAACTCCAGGTCAATTCCCACAAAACTCTTCCAGTGTTTTCTGTTGATCGTGGGTGTTCTGTGTGCCAAGTTTGGTTCAATTCAATCATTGGTGGAGTTCAGAATGCTCTTTGATTGTAGGTGAACTATAAATCCCAGCAACTACAACTTCCAAATGTCAAGGTCTATTTCCCCCAAACTCCTCCAGAGTTTGCATTTGGGCATACTGAGTATCTGTGCCAAGTTTGGTCCAGATCCATCATTGTTTGAGTCCACAGTGCTGTCTGGATATAGGCGAACTACAACTCCAAAACTCAAGGTCTTTCAGTATTTTCTGTTGGTCATGGGAGTTCTGTGTGCCAAGACTGGTTCAATTCCATCATTGGAGGAGTTCAAAATGTTCTTTGATTGTTAGATGGACTCTAAATCTCAGCAACTACAACTCCCAAATGACAAAATCAATCCCCCGCAAGTCCCACCAGAATTGAAATCTGGGCATACTGGGGTTTTGTGCCAAATTGGTATAGTGAATGAAAATACACCCTGAATATCAGATATTTACATTACTATTCATAACAGTAGCAAAATGACAGTTATGAAGTAGCAACAAAAATAATTTTATGGTTGAGGATCACCACAACATGAGGAACTGTATCAAGGCATCGCGGCATTAGGAAGGTTGAGAAACACTGCTCTAGGTAGTGCCATTTTGCCAGGTTGTCTTTTGATCTGCGCATAATAATAATAATAATAATAATAATAATAATAATAATACTCTATTTATACCCTGCTACCATCTCCCCAAGGGACTCGGTGTGGCTTACATGAGGCCGAGCACACAATACATCAATAATAAAAGCAATAACAACAGTAATACAAAACAATAAACTCCAGCATAGACACTGAGAACTGGGAAGCCCTGGCCCTTGACCGCTCCAGCTGGAGGTCAGCTGTGACTAGCAGTGCTGTAGAATTTGAAGAGGCACGAATGGAGGGCGAAAGAGAGAAATGTGCCAAGAGGAAGGCGCGTCAAGCCAACCCCAACCGAGACTGCCTTCCACCTGGAAACCAATGCAGATGCAGAGCAAGAATAGGGCTCCACAGCCACATACGGACCCACAAGAATACCGGAAAACAATCCTCCTCGGAAAACAAGAGATCGCCTAAGTGAAGTGAAGTGACAAAACAATAAAATAAAACTCATAACAGAAGATAAGCAGTAAACATTAACAGTAACACAACGACGTTTAAAAAACTATGGCTGGGCCAAATGTAATAATTAAAAATTTAAAAATAATGCTGAGCATGAACAGGTGAGATATGACTAGGATAGAGTTTTTGGAGAGGGACGAGGGGAACCAAATGCCCACTCAACTTCTGAGTCTGTTGGGGGACTTCCAAGTTTACGGTGCTTGGTTTGCTCCTGGAGACAGACCCTTGTGGGGGATCATCCAATTGGGCCAAGCAAAGTGAGATCGCCATATTGATTTTGTTCTGGTCTGCCTCTGTGTAAGCGTTACATTTAGGCAATGAGCTGCAAGGAAAATCAGCAAACATCGCAATATGCAAAGTGGCCTGGAGGGAGAACCTCCAGCTTTGTGTCTTCTCTAAGAGATAAAAGTGGAATATTGTTATTGTTGTTGTTGCTATTATTATTAATATTGCAAACTCCATAACAAGCATTATGATATGGATGCTCCAAGCCACTCACCTGTGCTCCCACGTGCCCTAGGCGCAGCTTTGGGATGTTAGTGTGCGTCTTGTTCAGCTGGGTCAAGTTTGCCAACTGGTTGTTGGCGATCTGGTTGTTGAAATGTAAGAGCAGCTGCCAGGGAAGGTCATTGTGCCTGGAAATGAGGGGAACCAAATCCCATTGAGCAAAGTCGTAAATGCACATAGGCCCATCTCATGCTTAAGAGTGACTGTATACAACGCTCACTTTGGCAACATGGAAGTGGATGCAAACATTCCACATATCTAAATGCTTTTATAGGCAACGATGCACAGACCCAAACTGGAATCTGGCCCATGTCTACTATATTCCTTCTACACAACTCATCTTCTAAACCTAATTCCCATCCAGAACTTGGGAATGGCCTGTTTTTTGGACTACAATTCCCAGTGGCTATGCTGACTGGTGGATTTTGGGAGCTGTAGTCCAAAGCTATGATACTGCCTTGAGTCGCCTTCGGGCTGGGAAAGGCAGGATAAAAATGCTGTAAATAAATAAATAAATAAATAAATATAATGATGACGATGATGAGTGATGTAGTCTAAAGCTATATGATGATGATGATAGGACCGGTAGTCAAAAGTTATTAAATGATGATGATGGGGACTGTAATCCAAAGCTATTAGATCATGATGATGTTGATGGGAGATGTAATCCAAAGCTATTATATGATGATGATAGGTGCTGTAGTCCAAAGCTATTAGATGATGATAGTGATGATAATGGGAGCTGTAACAGAAAACCATCACCATGATGATGATGATGATGATGGTGATGGGAGATGTAATCCAAAGCTATTATATGATGATAGGTGTTGTAGCCCAAAGCTATTAGATGATGATAATGGGGGCTGTAGTCCAAATCTATTAGATCATGATGATGATGATAATGATGGAAGATGTAATCCAAAGCTATTATATGATGATGATGATAGGTTCTGTAGTCAAAAGCTATTCGATGATGATGATGATAATGGGAGCTGTAATAGAAAGCTATTACAGTAGATCATGATGATGGGGACTGTAGTCCAAAGATATTAGATTACGATGATGATGGGATATGTAATCCAAAGCTATTATATGAGGATAGGTGCTGTAGTCAAAAGCTATTATATGATGATGATGATGGGAGCTGTAGTAGAAAGCTATTAGTTCATGATGATGGGGGCTGTAGTCCAAAGCTATTAGATTATGATGATTATGATGATGGGAAGTGTAATCCAAAGCTATTCCATGATGATAGGTGCTGTAGCCCAAAGCTTTTATATGATGATGATGATGATGATGATGATGATGGGAGTTGTAGTAGAAAGCTATTAGATCATGATGATGATGAGAGCGGTAGTCCAAAGCTAGCTTTTCTGAGCCCTTCAAAGGATTCCCATAGATAGCAGACTAGATTTCAGTATGACAATCCCCAATGGCTGTTGTGCAGGTACAACTGTACCAGGAGCTCCAATTTTGTTTGCTTTGCATTGAATGTTTGTTGTAGTCCTAAGTTTCAGGGACTCTGCCAATAGGTGGCTTCTTTTGGCTGCAATCATAGGGCAAGCCACCTGTCAATTATAGTTAGGTTCCTTGGTCCCGCCCCCTTTTTGGGTTTTGGAGGGAATATGAGCCATTTTGGGTTCAGTCCACACAGAGAAGCCTTTCATGCAGGACATAATACCAAGAGCTCCTGTAGAAATCTTCGTCTTCTACGGCTTGGCCGGGGAGATATACAGCCCACAGCTTGGCCGGGGTTATACAGCCCTCAGCTCCTTTGCTGAAGGACTTCAGTCAGCCATCACGGAAACCTGAGTTCTTTTTCCCCTGGAAGTCTACAAAGCTCTGCTTGGTAAGGGTCACTCACGGAAGCCAGAACCAGTTGGTACCGGGTACAGGGGCTCCACGCCAACAGAGGCAAAGACAGACTGCCCAGATTAGAAGTTAAGGATTTCCCCATTAGTTACAGTTATGAAGATAGTGCCTGTTCCCTGTGGACAAGATTGAGAGAGAGCCAATAGACTGTTAAGAAAGCCTTAAAGTACCTGTTTGTTTTAATTAATAAAGAACTTTGTTGAACCTTTAAGCAATCTAAAGACTCTGTTTTAAGGAAATCCAAAGGCCTTTAATCTGAGGCAGCCCCGGCGTCCTATTGGGCACACAGAATTTATGTCCTGTCTACAGTCTTATGCACAGACCCAGCGTGAGACAGCACAGTTGTGCTGATTGGTGCCTTCTGGGTCCTATAGTCCAAAGTGAGCATTTTTTGGCTTGGCAGAGGGAATAGACTAGATTTCAGTATGTTTTTACCCCATAGGAAGGTCTGCTCCTGCCTGCTGTATCATTTCCAAAAGCCGCTTTGGAAAGCCCAGGGATCGCTTGCCTTGCAAACAAGAAGTGTTCATAAGCCCATTGATAATGGAGAAAGCCCTATTGAAGCGGAGGGGGGTTAATCCCAAACAAGCCTGCAGTGCAAATCCCATTTCTCAGAGTGCAAAATAATAATAAGACGAAGACGTCTGCACCTGGTTTGGAAAGGAGCTGAAAGATGGGAAAATGGAGGCGATCAGGATATGTCTTCATTGCGAAAGCCCTCCCAGCCCTGGCATGGCATTTATGAGACCCAAAGAGGATTAAAGGCAAAGGAGAATGACCGGGAGGTCCTTTCCGGCTTTATTCCCTGTAGAGAAGGTGAGGAAGGAACTATTTCCAAAGATACAGAGTTCACAGCCATAAACTTTTATTCCTAGGCATTTGGTTCATCAGCTTTCATGCTTTGGGACAATTATACCAAACCAAAGTGCAGTCCAACCTGTTCTTTATGACCTGTTTATGACAGCAAATATATAAAACCATTGTGTTCGTCTCCATGCATCAACGCACTCTTTCACTGCAGTGGTTTTCTTGGCTGCTGGCTTCAGAGTTGTTGCTTTTGCCTTGGTTTCCCTCCCTGGCCTGAGGTTCTCTTCCTCACTGATGGCATTTGGTGCTTTGCTTTTTGCTCTCCATTTTAAGACTGATGGCTGGCAGAGGAGCCCCAAAGTCAAGGCTTTTGACAAACCCTTTGAAATAGCAAGAGAAAGCTATTGGATGTCATGGAAGAACCTCTACCAGGCTTGGAAAAGTGGCTTCTTGGGATTATGAACCCCAGAATCCCCCAGGGCTTCTGAGAGTTGAACCCCACACAGGGCAATGTTATGGAGATCTGGCTAGCGATGTCTTCATCGGTGGCTTCCATAACATAGAGAAATCCTATGAAACAGCAATGGAAAGCTATTGGATGACATGGAAGAACCTCTCCCAGGCTTGGAAGAGTGGCTTCTGGGATTATGAACCCCATAATCCCCCAGGGCTCAACTGCAGGGATTCTCAGAGTTGAACCCCACACAGGGCAACATTATGGAGATCTGGCTAGCAGTGTCTTCATTGATGGCTTCCATAACATAGGGAAACCCTACGAAACAGCAATGGAAAGCTATTGGACGACATGGAAGAACCTCTCCCAGGCTTGGAAGAGTGGCTTCTTGGGATTATGAACCCCAAAATCCCCCAGGGCTCAACTGCAGGGATTCTCGGAGTTGAACCCCACATAGGGCAATGTTATGGAGACCTGTCTAGTGGTGTCTTCATTGGTGGGTTCCATAACATAGGGAAACCCTATGAAACAGCAAGGGAAAGCTATTTGATGACATGGGAGAACCTCTCCCAGGCATGGAAAAGTGGGCTTCTTCAGACCATACACTCCAGAATCCCCAAGCAGCATGGCTAGGGTTCAACTGCAGAGATTCTGGTAGTTGAACTCCACACAGGGCAACATTATGGAGATCTGGCTAGTGGTGTCTTCATTGGTGGCTTACATAACATAGGGGAAACCTATGAAACAGCAAGGGAAAGCTATTGGATGACATGGGAGAAACTCTCCCAGGCTTGGAAGAGTGGCTTCTTGGGATTAAGAACCCCAGAATCCCCCAGGGCTCAACTGCAGGGATTCTGGGAGTTGAACTCCACACAGAGCAATGTTATGGAGATCTGGCTAGTGGTGTCTCCATTGGTGGTTTCCATAACATAGGGAAACCCTACGAAACAGCAATGGAAAGCAATTGGATGTCATGGGAGAACCTCTCCCAGGCTTGGAAAAGTGGGTTTCTTCAGACCATACACTCCAGAATCCCCAAGCAGCATGGCTAGGACTTAACTGCATGGATTCTGGCAGTTGAACCCCACACAGGGCAATGTTATGGAGATTTGCCTAGTGGTGTCTTCATTGGTGGCTTCCATAACATAGGGAAACCCTATGAAACAGCAATGGAAAGCTATTGGATGTCATGGGAGAACCTCTCCCAGACTTGGAAAAGCAGGCTTCTTCAGACCATACACTCCAGAATCCCCAAACAGCATGGCTAGGGCTCAACTTGCAGGGATTCTGGGAGTTGAACTCCACACAGGGCAACATTATGGAGATCTGGCTAGTGGTGTCTTCATTGGTGCCTTCCATAACATACAGAAAACCTATGAAACAGCAATAGAAAGCTATTGGATGACATGGGAGAACCTCTCCCAGGCTTGGAAAAGTGGTCTTCTTCAGACTATGAACCCCAGAATCCCCCATGGCTCAACTTCAGGGATTCTGGGAGTTCAACTCTACATAGGACAACATTATGGAGATCTGGCTAGTGGTGTCTTCATTTGTGTCTTCATTGGTGGCTTCCATAACATTAAACCGATGGATTTAGTAGTCTGAACTTGAAAAGGAGCTCTCCAAGGCACTGAACTGCAACACAGTCAAGTTGTATGAGTGTGTGTACACACAGTCCCTGAGTTACAAACATGAGCCTCATAGTTAAGAAGGGGTGAGACAACAGGAAGTGGGAGAAATCTATCCTTAAAGAGAGAAAAACACTCCTGAAAGAGTGATTGTCATGGGGGAAAGGGGTTTCCACTGAAGCTTGGACCTCAATCCTTGAATCCACCACAAGCCAAATTTTTCAAAATCCAATGAAATCTTTTAAACAGGGGCACAGACAGCAAAGGAAACACTACAGAGGTGTTCATTCTTCCATAGTTATAGGTATAGATATATATAGATATAGATATAGAGAGATAGAGATAGATCTCTCTCTCTCTCTCTCTCTCTCTCTCTCTCTCTCTTTCTCTCTATCTCTATCTCTCTATCTCTCTGTCGCTATCTCTCTGTCTCTATCTCTCTCACTTTCTATCTCTATCTGGAGTTACACTTACAAAATGTGCCTGTTCCAACTTACAAACAAATTCAGTTTAAGAACAAACCTACAGAACCTATTTTGGTTATAACTTGGGGACTGCCTGTATGTGAATGTGTATATTGTGTATGTGTGTGTGTTCTTAACTATAAGTCTCATGTTTGTAACTTGGGGACTGTGTGTACACACATTCATACAACTTGACTGTGTTGCAGTTCAGTGCCTTGGAGAGCTCCTTTTCAAGTTCAGACTACTAAACCTATCAGTTTAATGTTAAGGAAGCCACCAGTAAAGACACCACTAGCCAGATCTCCACACAAACACACACAACATGGGTATGTTGTATATATATATGAAACATGGATAAGTTGTGTATGCAACATGAGTAAGTTGTAAATTACATTGTTCTTAATGTAGTGAGCCAATTTGTATCTCAATTGAGAAATAATAATAATAATAATAATAATAATAATAATAATAATAAGGACTTGTTTTCTGCTGCCCTTGATACTAGGACTCAATGGAACAATGGCTTCAAACTACAGGAAAGGAGATTCCATCTGAACATTAGGAAGAACTTCCTGGCTGTAAGGAGAGCTGTTCAGCAGTGGAACTCTCTGCCACTGAGTGTGGTGGAGGCTCTTTCTTTGGAGGTTTTGAAACAGAGGCTGGATGGCAATCTGTCAGGGGTGCTTTGAATGCGATTATCTGCTTTTTGGCAGAATGGGGTTGGACAGGATGGCCCACGAGGTGGTCTATTCCAACTATGATCCTATGATCCTACGACTCATGGTGATCCCATGAAATTCAGGTATCCTTTGGTGAGAAGGACTCAGAACTGGTTCTGCCGATTCCTTTTTCTGCCTTTTCTTGCCTTTGGCACATTACTATGCATACTGAATCATCATTCCTGGGTAAACCCCTTTTCCCCTCCAGCAACTGTGAGGATTTGAAGCTAGACTTGGATGGGTAAAGGGGGTCGAGGTGGGGTTTGGCCCCTGCCATGTGGCAGATGGTTCCTGGTGTCCTTCGTTATCATATAATCATTCCTGCTATAAGATATGCTCTCTGGGTGATTTGGCACAGCAGGAGAGAGGGTCGGGAAGAAGGAATGAAGGAAGATTAGTAAAGGAAGGGGAGGAGGAAGAGGAGGAAGGAAGGAAGGAAGGAAGGAAGGAAGGAAGGAAGGAAGGAAGGAAGGAAGGAAGCAGGAAGGAGGATTAGGGGAAGGAGGAAAAAAAGAGAAGAGGAGGAGGAGGAGGGAGGGAGGGAGGAAGGAAGGAAGGAAGGATTAGGAAAAGGAGGAAAAAAGAGAGGAGGGGAGAGAGGAAGAAACAGGGAAGGAAGGATGAGAAGAAGGATAAGGTCCAATGTTCAAACCATTACACCATGTTTGGCTGTATATCTTAAGTTTTATATGTAACTTGGGCACTTTTAGATATCTTACCTGTCCGAACGTATCTCTCCCTATGAACCATCTAGGACTTTAAGATCATCTGGGGAGGCCCTGCTTTCGATCCTGCCTTCGTCGCAGATGTGTCTCGCGGGGACGAGAGACAGGGCCTTCTCAGTGGTGGCCCCTCAACTGTGGAACGCCCTCCCTAGGGATATCAGATCGGTCCTCTCCCTTTTAACATTTCGTTAAAAAGTCAAAATTTGGCTTTTTGAGCAAGCATTCACAAATGCAGTGTCATGGGCAAACACAGGACAATGGAACGATTGGACGATGTGACTGGACAAGGTTTTTAACAAGGAGACGCTGATGATATATGTTTTTATTGATCTTGTTATGGTTTTATATTATATGCTAATGTTTTTAATTGTATTTTACGATATTGGCGGCATTGAATTGTTGCCGACTGTAAACCACCTTGAGTCACCTTCGAGCTGAGAAACGCGATATAAAAATATGGTAAATAAATAAATATCTGAATACAGCTGTCCATTTAATTATTAAAATTGGGTCAGATATTGTTTTAACTACATTCTGTTTTAGTCATAGAATCATAGAGGTGGAAGAGACTCCAAGGGCCATCCAGTCCGGAGAAGGAAGAAAAGAAGGAAGGAAGGAAGGAAGGAGGAGGAAGAAAGATGGAAGGGAAGGGAAACGAAGGAAAGGAATGAGAGGAGGAACAGAAGAAAAAGGAGAAGAAAAAGGAGGAGGAAGAAGGGAAGGAAAAATAAGAAGAAAGGGAAGGACAGGAAGGGAAGAGAAGAGAAGAAGGAAGAGAAAGGGAAATTGGGAGAGAGAGAGAGAAGGAAAGGAAGATGAGGAGGAGAAAGGGAAGGAGGAGGAGGAACGGAAGGAAGGCAGGTGCCTCTTACCCATCTATTACAGGTGTCACTTTCATGATTCTCTCTGCCTCCGACAGATACGAATCTCCTGCTCCGAGGGCAATTTGGGAGAGGAGCAGGCAAGCGACCAGGTGTCCTGCCATGATGCACAGTTTCCAAAGTCAAGGGTTGCACCTTCTTCCAGGCTTTGTCAGGAGAGATGATCAGCAGCTCCTTCGTTTGATGCCCGAAGCAGACTGATAGCGGCCTTGGAGTCTTGGACCGGGAAGATCCAAATGGGTGCGATGCCAAACCCACCTGTCTCAGGCCATAAAGCTGGGGAGGAGCTAAGAGATCTTGCCCGACCAGGTTGGATTTCCAGAGAACCTGCATGACGGTGGCACCAAAAAAGGGCACCACACCTGTTTCTTTATTCTCAGCTGTGTGGCTATATTTCTAAATCCAATATATATATATTTGGAACCCGTTAGACGAGTAAGAAGAGCTTTTAGTCAACAAGGTTCCCTCTTTGGGCATGTTACAACCTGGAGTTGCATCTTCTTGTGTGTTGTATCTCCTTGTGCTTCACTTGATGACCCTTTTCCATTTTAATTATATTTCTTAATTTCTTTTACACTCAGTGGTGCAGCGGGTTAAACCGCTGAACTGCTGCACTTGCAGACTGAAAGACTGGCGGTTTGAATTGGGGGAGCAGGGGGAGCTCCCACTGTTAGCCCCAGCTTCTGCCAACCTAGCAGATCCCTTATAGAAAATACTGTGTTTTTTGATGGTCTTTGGCAACCCCTCTGACATTCCCCCCCTCCCCCGAGGTCCTACCCCCAGGTTGAGAAACAAAGGCTTACAGTCTTTTTCTTAGAGAGTAAAGTTGGGTACTTCTACTACCACCACTACGACTAACCAATGCAAGTTACAAACTAAAATATAGAGGGAAAATTAATCCATTTTTTCAAGATAAGAACCTCATAATATAACCTCCCCACCACCACCGAAAACACATATCAAACATTTATAGCCCAAAGGAATCTATACAAATGACAAACATACACCAAAATACAGGAGAGAAAATTAATTATTTCCAAGACTGGAGTCCCATAATAAGCAAGCAACTCTCATGCAAGCAACTCTCACGGAGAATGGTTAATGCACAACTGCTTAACCTGGTGAAGGTCATTTTCACATAGGATGAAGTGTTAAAGATCAGCCAGGCCTTGTGACATACCCAAATAATAGGAGACAAAGATGTCAGGCACTGCATTGTGTCAAGTTAATTCAAGGCCATAAGGTTATCCAATTTATTCCTGGCCTGTTTTGTTGTATTGAGTTGTCTGTCCAAAGGTCCAAGACGGACACACTTATACAAGGGGTGTTCATTAAACATTTCCCTTGACCCGCTTCTATTGATCACAGGATGCTGAAAATACACATGTGTAATGATATAAGTCTCTCTAGGGTACGTGCCAATTTACAACCCAGAACTGATAACGGTCTTGATTTCACAGGTACTGAAGTGTTGTGAGGTTTGAGAATGGACCCAGTGGAATACAGAACGGTCCTCAAGTTCCTTGGTCACAAACCAAAGGAGACATTCGATGAGACGAAAGAGGTTTCTGGGATGATTCCCCATCATATGATGGAGTCAAGAACTGGCATCCTTAATTCCAATGTGGTCGGACTTTGGTGGAAACAGCTCCCATTCCAGGGCGACCCCACTCTGCTATTCATGAACACACCATCCAGCAAGTGGAGGGCACCATTTTGGAAAATCACCGCATGCCCATTCTCCACCTAGCCCAAAATGTCAAGATGAGTGTGGTGTGCATGGAAAAAATCACCCAAGACCCTCATCACCTGCATAAGGTATCTGCTCACTGGGTCCCCCAGCTGCTCACACCTTTCCAGAAGCAGGAACTTATGGAAAGGTCAAATGCTCTCAGGTTCCCTTGACAATAATGTGCCATGGAAACCAGGAGGACTTTTTCAACAGGCTGATCACACAGAATGAAAGCTGAGTCCATCACTCTGATCCTGAGACTAAAGTCCAGTTGATGCCATGGAAGCATCCTGACTCACCGCCTCCAAAGAAGGCATGTGCTCAAATCTGGCAGGCAAGGTCATGCTCACAGTATTTTGGGACCAGCACGGAGGAGTGTGGATGGATTTCCTAGCAAAGAGAACCATGATCAATGGGACATACAATGCTTCACTGATGTGGGAATTGCAGGAGGCCATCAAAACCAAGAGGCAATGTGGCATGCTCACCAATGGTGCCTGCCTTCTGCAAGACAATGCACCAGTTCACAACTCATCTGTTGCCCAAATAGAAGAAGCTTGCTCTCCTGTAGCTTTAAAATCCTACCGCACCCTCTTTATTCACCCGACCTCACACCTTCGCTTCCATCTCTTTCCAAAAATGAAGGTTTTTTTGAAGGGCAAACATTTCTCAGGTGACAAGACTCTGATTTCCGGAGTCACAACGTGACTTGTGGAGCAACCTGTCAACTTCTACAAGCGAGGTGTTGACAGTTGCTTCAAAAGATGGGAGAAGTGGCACCCATGGAGAGAAGGACTAAGAACTGGGCCAAGTTTCATTGCTCTCAGGCCACAGGTCACAGGTCAGGGGAAATGTTTCATGAACGCCCCTCGTATTTAAGGAGTGTAGACTAATTGGGATTTCTCCTCACGCCCCACCCCTGATCTTAGAACTCAAATAAGAACCCAGAAATGGCCAGAAAAGTTCTTTTGTGTTTTAAAACCTGTGCTTTTTCTTTCCCTTCTTTTAAATGTAGCTGATCAGTTCCTCTTCCAGGACTTCCTTCTTCTGCTGATGAGAGACAGTGATGATATACACATTTCCACAAATTTGTTTTACTTGAAAATGGTGTGAATGATTCACACCATCAGGAATGGAGGAAACAGACCAATGTCTAAGTGTATCTGTTTATTTGCATGGAAATGCTCATGCATTTTAACACTTTCCCAAATTGCTTTACTCAAATGTGCTTAATTTCCTTTAAAACTTAAAAGGATAACCCTCCTCTCAACAGCTGGCAATGGGATATCGGCACATCGTTTATTAGTCACACTTACTCAGCCTCAAAGGAGGCAAGGGCAAACCTTTTCTGAACAATAGAATCATAGAGTTGGAAGAGATATCGTGGGCCATCCAGTCGAACCCCATTCTGCTAAGAAGCAGGAAAATCACATTCAAAGCATCCCTGAGAGATGGCCATCCAGCCTCTATTTAAAAGCCTCCAATCAGAGTTGCTTTAGATTGAAAACAAATAGGAGACACACAACAAGAGCAACATTTTCCAAAAAAAAAGGGATCCCAGAACAAGGAAATTACAAAGGAATGTTAGAAAGAGAAAGAGCTGGGTTGAATTATATACACAAATTCCAGCCCATTGGCAGAAGTATGAGCAAAGACGATGCCTTCATATATTAACACCAGAATCCTGGCTACATCCTATGTCGCAAAAGGAATATGTTCCAGACAGAGTCTTGAACCCAAGGAAACTGACCTCATTTATTGCTTCCAGGCATCAATAATAACAGGCCACCATAAATATCTGAAAAACCTATATCACTTTGTTTATTATATTTTTTCATGTGACAAACTTTGAAAATGCAATCTCAAGAGACACCGTTTGCCTCTTTCTGGATCCTGTTACATTTTATCCCCAAACTGTATGAATCATAGAGTCATAGAATCTGTTGTACACCAGAGCAGGAACACCCTGACCTTAAAGACCACAAAAATCAGCAAGCAGTTTATTGGTAAAATCAGCAAGCAGTTTATTGAAGAATATGTGTTGACAAAGCAGTAAAATTAGCAAAAACAGCAAAATTCCAAAACAAAAGTTAGACCATGAGCTTCAAGACAAAACAAGATCCATAGGTATATAAATCTATGAAACAAGGCACAAGAATCCATGAAACAAGGTACCATGAAAAATCCAATACACAAATCAGGAGCTTGACAAAAACTTGGTAATTAAACTAAGAGCACTTGAAAGCAAGACCGTCAGGAAATTCCAACTTTGGCCCAACTGAGGCAACTCTTTCCCCATAAATCAATATTAAGGTTTTCCAGATTCCAAAAGCACAAGGAAAGCATTTCTCTTGACCGTAATACCAGATAAAGGTTTCTTATCTTTCTTTTCTTGTAAACGAACTGATCTTTTTTGTGCCTGAGCACTTGGTCTCTGTTTACAAAAACCTTGCTTTCTATCTACACTCCTAAGATTTTTTTTCACAAGTACTGCTATGAGTATGTTTTATGCAGAGGTCTCAATATCACTTGGTCCTGCATCCAAAGAAAAGGGTTCATAATATCCACAAAAGTTCAAGAAAACAAATTGAAATAAATTAAAAACCAGTCTTTGAGATATTTCCCTTTTCCTTCCCTCTCCCTTCTTTATTTCCTTGCAGTTTCCCTTCCAGTGAAGGTGCAAAAATTGCTGCTCTTGTGGAACAAAGCAGCACTTCAGACAAAACTTCAAAGCGCAAGGGACAGTGACTTTGAAGAGCTCTCCCAATGCGGATGCTGGGTTCTGTAGTCCCTAAGTGACACAGAGAGAGACCCTGAAGCTTGGTCTAGAGCTGGCCAAACTTTGATAAAGTCAAGTAATATGGTTTGGATCCCGTGGCTTCGTGAAGCTGGTTGCTTTTGCCGTGCGTAAAAACGCACCAGGATCGAATTGCGTAAAAACGCACAAGTCTCCAAAGTGGGCGGAAGAGGATGGAGTTTGGAGAGAGTTGGGGTCCAAAGAGGGGCAAAGTGGGGGTGCTTAAGGTGAGAGGGAGGGGAGAGGGAGGGCTCCCCTAGTAGCTCCGCCTGCCCCATTCTTCCGTCTGCTTCTTTCTCCTCCTCCTCCTCCTCTCTTTCTTTCTTCTTTCCTTCCTCCTCCTTTCTTTCCTGGCCATCATGGCTCGCCTGGCTGTAACTGAGACCTTCTTTGGAATCCAATTCCCTGGCCACCTTCACACACAAGACTCGCTGCAAGCGGCCGCCTCCTTCCCTTTCCGACCCTCCGACGTCCTCCTGGTCACCTACCCCAAGTCTGGTAAGCCTTGACACGTGTTCACCCGTGCCCACGTTCGCCTTCTTCAATCCTTCCATCCCAAAGCTTTGTGGTTTAGCCAGCTGGCTGCTCCACCAGAGTGAATAGTTTGTCTCCACTTGAGCTTTCAATGGCTCAAGGCTATGAGGTCCTGGGATGTATACTTTGGAGGCCCTGGCACTCTGGGGCAGAGAAGGCTCAGACTTCTGAAACTCAAAAGAGTCCACTTATGTTGCAGAATTAATACAGCTCGACAGCACTTTTAATTGCTACAGCTCAATGCTATGGAATTTATTCCACACAGCTGAATAAAATCCCAGATTATCTGCTTTGAGCTGGAATATATGGCAGTGTGGACTCAGATATCCCAGTTCAAAACTGATATTGTGGGGTTTTCTGCATTGATATTCTGAGGGCCCTTCCGCACAGGTCTATATCCCAGAATATCAAGGCAGAAAATCCCACATTATCTGAGTGTGGACTCAGATAGCCAACTTCAAAGCAGATATTGTGGGATTTTCTGTTTTACTGTTCTGGGATATAGGGCTGTGTGGAAGGCCCTGGGATATATGGGTGGAAGGGCCCTGAGTCAATGTTTCTCAACCTTCCTAATGCCACGACCCCATAATGCAGTTCCTCATGTTGTGGAGACCCCCAACCAGGCCTGTAGCGAGGGGGGGGGTGTTAGGGGTTCAAACCCCCCAACCCGAAATGTTTCAGATTTTTTTTAAAAAACCCAGTTTACTCATGAATGTTAACTGGTTAACCAAATCCCCATGCTAAGTCTATGAGATGCAAAAAATTAAGAGTTCCTCCAGAACTGCAAACACTATCTCAAGCAAATATTTATTTATTTATTTATTTATTGTTCGAACTTCTATGCCGCCACTCCCCTGGGGCTCGGAGCGGCTTACAATAACAGGCTAAAATCGAACACAATTTTAAAACAATTAAAAACAATTTAAAAACAGCAATATTAAAGGTCAAAGGCCTGTCGAAACAGATATGTCTTACATGCCCTGCGGAAAGCTGATAAGTCCTGCAAGGCATGGACTTCAGGTGGCAGAGTATTCCAGAGTGATGGTGCCACTGCTGTAAAGGCTCTGCGTCTGGTTGCTGTTAGACGCAAGGTCTTGACACTGGGAATTTCCAATAGATCTTGGTCCTCAGAACGGAGGGATCTCTGGGGTTGGTAGGGGGTGAGGCGGTCCCTCAGGTACATCGGCCCCAGACCATGCAAGGCCTTAAATATTGACAATTTATTCACACTGTCATTACTTGCAGCAATAGCCGATGTAGTGAAGCAACCAAGTGTGTGTGTGTGTGTTGAATGCTCTCATTAAGGAGGCCAGACTTGGTGGAGGTGGTTGACAGGGGCGGAGCTGCAGGCTATTGAAGGCTGCTCTGCCCCCTGCTGTGCTCTTTGCTTCAGCGTGAGCTAGAAGGCAGGTTTCACCCCCCCCCGCAAAATTTTCAACCCCCCCCCTGAAAATTTCAAACCCTCCCGAAATTTTTTTCTGGCTACGGCCCTGCCACAACATTATTTTCATTGCTACTTCATAACTGTAATTTTGCTAGTTCACCTACAATCAAAGAACATTCTGAACCCCACCATGGACAGAATTGGACCAAACTTCCCACACAGAACCCCTGTGCCTTGAAGACACTCACCTGACTCCAACATACAAGAGTTCTATCTCCCACCCTTGATATCATTCCACAGATATATAAACCCCATTTTCCTAGTTTCCAGCAGACCTCACAACCTCTGAGGATGCCTGCCATAGATGAAGTGAAACATAAGGAGAGAATGCTTCTGGAACATGGCCAGACAGCCCGAAAACCTTACAACTACCCAGTGATTCCAGCCATGAAAGCCTTCGACAATACATTATCATTATTATAAAATTTATATTTACACCACATTTTTCCTCTCTTAAATGAGACTCAGACTGCCCACAACACTAAAAACAGTATTAAAAAAAACTCCCATCATCCCAATGGCTAGTTGTTGTTGTTGTTATTATTATTATTATTATTATTATTATTATTATTATTATTAGCCATCCCCTGCCACGCGTTGCTGTGGCCCAGTCTGTGTATATGGATTTTGTGTGTGTAGATATTTGTGTATATGTGTATATGTGTGGTTGCGTATATATATATCATATAGATAGTGGGTTTGCGCATGTGTTGTAATGTAATTTTTGGTTTTTGGCTTTTTAAGTCCCTTCTGCTGTGTTTTTTGGCATTTTTATGAGTGATGGTCACTCGTCGGCCTGATAGGTGTATTGTGTCCAAATTTGGTGTCAATTCATCCAGAGGTTTTTTAGATGTGTTAATCCCAAAAACGAACATTACATTTTTATTTATATAGACTATCCGTCCCCTGTCACACGTTGCTGTGGCCCAGTCTGGTGATCTGGGAAATAAAGTAATGACAAAGTGTTGGTTTCTAATATATGCAATTTCTTTATGCTTGTGGGTAAACAGCACTTCTTGCTGTTTCTTTGTCAGTGTTGATGTGGAGATTGTCTGGTTTGCCTACTCTGGAACATGCAACATATCATTGTCCTTCTTTAGGGTCTCTTTCAAATCTATGATAATATATCTCTGTATGTGTGTGAATCATATATATCTATCTATATCTATGGCTGGGTGGTTCTTTGTTGGGAGGGCCAGCTATTTGTTTGCTCCAATTCTGTTGGTGGTGGGGTTAAGAATGCTCTTTGATTCTAGGTGAACTATAAATCCCAGTGACTACAACTCCCAAATGTCAAGGTCTATTTCCCCCAAACTCCATCTGAGTTCACATTTGGGCATACTGAGTATTCGTGCTAGGTTTGGTGCAGATCCTTCATTGTTTGAGTCCACAGTGCTCTCTGGATGTAGGTGAACTACAATTCCCAAACTCAAGGCCAATGCCCACCAAGCCCTTTCAGAATTTTCTGTTGGTCATGGGAGTCCTATGTGCCAAGATTGGTTCAATTCCATCATTGGTGGGGTTCAGAATGCTCTTTGATTGTAGGTGAACTGTAAATCCCAGCAACTACAAATCCCAAATGACAAAATCAGTTTTTTTTTAGTGATGGTCACTCCTTGGGTGAGTAGATGTCTTGTGTCCAAAGTTGGCGGCAATTCATCCAGTGGTTTTTGAGTTCTGTTAATCCCACAAATGAACATTACATTTTTATTTATATAGATGATGATGATGGTTATTATTATCATTATTATTATTATTATTATTATTATTATTATTATTATTATTATTATTGTTACTTCTATAAACATCCTGCTGTCTTCTCTTGAATGAGATTCAAAGCAGGTCACAACATATAAAATTATTAAGCTTAATTTGGCACGAAATGCCAATGCAAAGAAGACGATTCCACCCGCTTTGTGGGATGAATCACCCCGACTTCAACTCTCCCGCCCTTCCTTGCAGGGACCACCTGGATGCAGGAAATCCTGACCTTCATCCACAGCGAGGGGGACCCCGAGCCAGCCAAGACCATCCCCAACTGGGCCCGCCTGCCTTGGCTGGAACACCTCTACATGGGGACCCTCATGGAGCCCAAGGGTCCCCGGCTCCTCACCACCCACCTGCCTTATCCAGCCCTGGAGGAGGCTTTGGCCAAAGCAAAACCAAAGGTGAGTCAACGGTCAATACAGGTGCCTCCAAACCCGTTGTGTGAATCATGCCCATGCAACTATGAATACTTTAATCTGTGAGCAGTCACTTCCCCGTCTACTTCTGCTCACGGTGAAGGATGCAATTATTACATGATCTCTCCCCCCCCCCCCCCCCCATCCCTAAAATCTGTTTGCATGCCTGGTGCATCATAAGCTTAACCGGAGGCTTTGCTACGTAGAATTAATTAGACATAGGCTTGAATTAGAGAGCGGAGCCAATTCATGGTTAATTAAGCTGTCCATCATTACCAGTCACAATGGGGTATAGGCAGCTTCTACACATTCAGAGGCAGACCTCTTGCTCCCAGTTGGAGGGATGCAAAGAATATCCTTTTCTATTACAATAGCGTCTCTATTGTAGAACATGAAGAAAAGAGCAGCAGTGGGATTCTAAGTGGGTTTTGGTTGCAAAAAGCGGGGTAGTTTGGGAGGATCCAGAAGCATATATTTTTGCACAGAAAAACCCATATTTAATTCTGCAGTACACTTCCAGCAGCACATTCTGTTCAAAGTGGTGGAAGTGCACTTGTACATCTAATGCAATTGCATGTGACATTGTGCATTCCCAAATGAGACCTGATAATAATCTCTCTATATAAAATGTAAATGTCTGTTTGTGAGTGACCTCATAACTCTCAAAATATTTAACCGATTGCTTCAAAATTTGGACACAGTGTAGCAATCGAACACGCAAAGGTTTAAAGGTTGTTGAAATCCAACTACTATACAGATGTCACACCTGTGACAGGTAAAAACATATTTTGCTTCAAAACCAGCGCCATCTGCTGGACAGCCAAGCAATTGCTAAGGTTCTGAACCTTACATTTTCCATGCTCGGAACCACCCCCTCTTCCTCCCTCCGTGCTCACTCATTGGCTGGAGGAGAAAGCTCCCGCTTTACCCACTGATTGGCACTCTCTTCCCACCTGAGGCCACAAGTGGCAGTTGCCTCATTGATGGGAAGGAAAGGAGGTGGACAGGGACATTGAAAGCTTTTTGGAAGGGACTGTATGGAAAAGGCCGAGGAGGAGGTCTGCAAGGCAGTGGTGAGAGAGGGGCTTCAGGAGGGCACGGAGAGGCAGGCCAGGTAAGAAGCCCTCCAGGCAGATGGCCAGCCAGCCATAGATAGGATAGACTCAGACGCACACACATGACAGATATCATAGATCTGGAAGAGACCCCAAGGGGGCATCCAGTCCAACTCTCTTCTGCCATTCAAGAAGACACCATCAAAGCCCTCCGGACAGATGGCCAGGCAGCTGTAGATATGAATATATACACACATACACAAGATAGACATTATAAATCTGGAAGAGACCCCCCAAAGCGGATCCAGTCCAACCCTCTTCTACCATGCAAGAAGGCACTAGCAAAGCCCTCCAGACAGATGGCCAGGGAGCCATATCACACAAGCACACATGCATGTACACACATATATACATACATATACAAACACACATGATAGATATCATAAATCTGGAAGAGACCCCAAAGGCGATCCAGTCCAAACCTCATTTTATGTTTTCACACATCTACTATTCTATAGATGTCACACCTGTGACAGGTAAAAATATGGAACAACAAAAAATATTGTATACCCACAAGCATCGTGAAATCACATATATTAGAAAGCACCTCTTACTCTTTTCTTTCTTTTCCATTTAACCAGACTGGGCCACAGCAACATGTAGTCGGGTACAGCTAGTGATAATAATAATACCATGCATTCCTGCTAAAAATTGCAGTAGGACTCTTTCCATTGCACACTTGCTTGCCCAGGCAGATGCGCCATGTTGCCATCCAAAACAAGAGCAAACTTGCACAACAAACAGGTAATGCTGCCTGTATGGGAATTTATGCTCCACAGCCTCAATTCAGGAACCCTGAGTTGCAAGTATTTCCCAACCGCTGCAGAGAAATCTGTCTTTCCTTCCAGACCAGGAAGAAAACTTTGGGAATGTTATCTTTTCAAGTCTGGATTGGAAGCAGCAATGTTGATATCGTTCGTCTTTTCTTGCCGCAGGTGATCTACGTGGCCAGAAACCCCAAAGACGTGGCCGTCTCCTATTACCATTTCTGCCGGATGGCCAATTTTTTCCCTGATCCTGGTTCCTTTGAGGAGTTTGCCCAGAAGTTCTTGGATGGCACTGGTATGCTTTTCCACAAAGCAGTCACACCAAAATAAGTTTGACATTAGTTTTATATGCTGTTAGCTGCTTTGAGTCTCATTCAAGAGAAGAAAGCAGGATGTTTGTATGAGTAATAATGTTTGGGGGTTCTTTGAACGCAATTTTCTTGCTTCTTGACAGAGGGTTGGACTGGATGGTTCACTAGGTCTCTTCCAACTCTATGATTCCATAATAATAATAATAATAATTTATTTATTCATTTATTATTTACCACATTTATATACCGTCTTTCTCAGCCCGAAGGCAACTCAGGGCGGTTCACAATCGGCAACAATTTGATGCCTCCACAACTATAAAACAAAAGTTAAAACAGATTATAAATACAATTAAAACATTAACATATAATACAAAAGCCATACAAAGCCATAAAAACATAATCTTCAATGTCTACTTACTAAAATCGTAATCCAAGTGCATCGTCAAATCATTCCGCATATCATCTTTATCTAATTATGTTGCATTAGCGAAAGCTTTCTTGAAGAGCTATGTTTTAACTTTCTTACGGAATGTCAGGAGGGAGGGGGCTGATCTTATATCCATGGGAAGAGCATTCCACAGCCAAGGGGCCACCGCTGAGAAGGCCCTGTCTCTCGTTCCCGTTAAACACATCTGTGAAGGAGGCAGGACCAGAAGCAGGATCTCCTTAGAAGATCTTAGAGTCCTAGGTGGTTCATAAGGAGAGATACATTTGGACAAGTAAGCTGGGCCGGAATCGTTTAGGGCTTTATAGGCTAAAGCCAGCACCTTGAATTGTGCCCGGTAGCAGATTGGCAGCCAGTGGAGCTGGTGCAACAGAGGAGTTGTATGCTCCCTGAGCGCCGCTCCTGTTAGCAACCTGGCTGCCACGCACTGGACCATTTGAAGCTTCCAAACAACCTTCAAAGGCAACCCCATGTAGAGAGCATTGCAGTAGTCTATACGGGATGTAACCAGAGTGTGGACTACCGTGGCCAAGTCAGACTTCCCAAGGTACGGGCGCAGCACCGAAGGGGACTCAGGGCTCACCCTGACTCGGACTTCGAACTGCCAACTTTTCAGTTGAAAAAATTTACTACAACCGGGGGTTAACCTGCTGTGCTAAAGCACAGTCCTAAGTAATAATAATAATAATAATAATAACTCCAAAGACTCTGGCACAAGCCAGTAAAAGTAATCCCAGTGGTGATCGGCACACTGGGTGCAGTGCCTAAAGGCCTTGGCCTGCACTTAAACAATATCGGCGCTGACAAAATTACCATCTGCCAGCTGCAGAAGGCCACCCTACTGGGATCTGCATGCATTATTCGCCGATACATCACATAGTCCTAGACACTTGGGAAGTGCCTGATATGTGATCCAATACAAAAGCCAGCAGAGTGTCTGCTGTGGAGTCATCTTGTTGCGTTTCTAATAATAATAATAATAATAATAATAATAATAATAATAATAATACAACAACAACAACAACAATACCAATTGGCCATGGAGATGATTTTAGTTGTCATAGGGGGAAGACTTTGTACAGATTTTAGTGTTGTAAGTGTTGTTTAAGAGATGAAAGTGCGGTATAAATATAAATTGAATAATAATAATAATAATAATAATAATAATAAAGTCTCCTTTTTCTGGTCCATCCCCATGCTTAAAAAGCAATACAGCAGCTGTGATCCTGCTTTGATGATGATGGTGATGGTGATGATGATGATGATAGTAATAATAATAATAATAATAATAATAATAATAATAATAATAATAAAGCAAACCCGTTAGTGACTTGTGAAGGTGTGCAAGAGGTTGGACTAGATGCGCTTTGGGGATCCTTCCCATTCTAAAGGTGCATCTACACTAATGTTTCTCAACCTTCCTAATGCCGCGACCCCTTAATACAGTTCCTCATGTTGTGGTGACCCCCAACCATAAAATTATTTTTGTTGCTACTTCGTAACTGTAATTTTGCTACTGTTATGTATCATGATGTAAATATCTGATAAGCAGGATGTATTTTCATTCACTGGGCCACATTTGGCACTAATACTCGATACGCCCAAATTTGAATACTGGTTTTGATTTTGTCATTTAGGAGTTGTAGTTGCTGGGATTCATAGTTCACCTACAATCAAAGAGCATTCTGAACTCCACCAACGATGGATTTGAACCAAACTTGGCACACAGAACTCCCAGGACCAAGAGAAAATACTGGAAGGGTTTGGTGGGCATTGACCTTGAGTTTTGGAGTTGTAGTTCACCTACATCTAGAGAGCACAGTGGACTCAAACAATGATAGATCTGGAAGGGTTTGGTGGGCATTGACCTTGAGTTTTGGAGTTGTAGTTCACCTACATCTAGAGAGCACTGTGGACTCAAATAATGATAGATCTGGAAGGGTTTTGTGGGCATTGACCTTGAGTTTTGGAGTTGTAGCTCACCTACATCTCGCGAGCACTGTGGACTCAAACAATGATAGATCTGGAAGGGTTTGGTGGGCATTGACCATGAGTTTTGGAGTTGTAGTTCACTTACATCTAGAGAGCACTGTGGACTCAAACAATGATAGATCTGGAAGGGTTTGGTGGGCACTTACCTTGAGTTTTGGAGTTGTAGTTCACCTATATCTAGAGAGCACTGTGGACTCAAACAATGATAGATTTGGAAGGGTTTGGCGTGCACTGACCTTGAGTTTTGGAGTTGTAGTTCACCTACATCTAGAGAGCACTGTGGACTCAAACAATGATAGATCTGGACCCAGCTTCTGTGCCAAAGGGGTTCCTTAGACCATCAGAAATATGTTTTCTGATGGTCTTTGGCAATCCCACTGAAACCCCTCTTGGCCCACACAGGGGTCCTGACCCCAGCTTGAGAAACGCTGATCTACACTGTTAAATTAATGCAGTTTGACTCCACTTTAACTTCTATGGCTCAATGCTATGGAATCCTGGGAGTTGTAGTTTTCCAATGTCCTTCTCTGCCCAAGAGTGCTGGTTCCTCACCAAACTACAATTCCCAGGATTCAATGGCATGCAGTTCAAACTGCATTCATTCAACAGTGTAGATACAGCCTAAGATAATATGGTGCTATTAACTTTTAGTGGAGCAGGGCTTTTGGGACATGCGTTTCCAATTAAACTGACTCCACCCAAATGGAGAACTGCTCTTCACTCTGAATTGTATTTATTTTGACATTATTTCCCCTTCAGACCTTGGAAAAGCCTCATTGCAGATGCAAACTGGAAAGAAAAAGGTGCTGGGGGGTTTCCACTTTTGTAGGTTTTGGCGTGATAAACAGGGAGTTTCGTGCCTAGGAATTTGTGGATTTTCCCTTCTTTTCCAAGCCCTTCTTTCTGAGAAAAATTCTCAATATTTATATTTGTTCCTATTTTGCAATGCTTGGTGCAGCTTTAAAAACACACCCATATGCACGCTATTTTTCCATTCTTTAAAAACCAGCATAAAAATAACCATTCTTGGTTGTCATGCCAACATACAAACAGCTGTACAATGTTCTTTACGGTCTACACCTGAAATGCCAAGAGGAAGGAATCAAAGATACATAACAGCAACAACATATTGTAGGACTGGTAATTATGAGAGACAAACAGATTTCTTAGTGTTTTGAGTGTTGGATTATAATTCTGGAGAGTTGCATTTCTAAAGCGACAGACCTTGGGAAACTACAACTCCTAGGGTCCCATTGCTTTGAGCCACGGTGGCTGAAGTGATATCAAACAACATTCATTCCACAGTGTAAATTCACCCTGTGATTCACCAATGCTATCGGATCCTGTGAATTGTAGTTTTCCAAGGTCTAGCCTTGAAAAGGGAGTATTCGTACTGTAGAACAAATGCAGTTTTGGCACCACTTTCACTGCCATGGCTTGAGGTGAAACCCTGGGAGTTGTAGTTTTCCAAGGTCTCTAGCCTTCTCTGCCAATGAGTGCTAAACTACAACTCTCAGAATCTCATAGCAGTGAGCCACGGCAGTTAAAGTGGAGGTCATGCTACATTTTTTTTGCAGTATAGATGCACCCTTTGACAGAGCAAGGCTAAGGTCCTTGAAAAACTACAACTCCCAGGGTCCCATAGCATTGAGCCAAGGTCCTTCAAGTGGTATCAAATGGCATTCATTGTTCTGTGTGGATGCACCCAGAGAAGGATGTAGACTTTAGGAAACTACAACTCCCAGGGTCCCATAGCGTTGATCCATGGCCATTTAAGTTGTGTCAAATGACATTCATTCTGCGGTGTGAATGCACCCAGAGAAGGATGTAGACCTTGGGAAACTACAACTCCCAGGGTCTCATACCATTGAACCATGGCAATTCATTTAAGTTGTGTTAAATGACATTCATTCTACGGTGTGAATGCACCCAGAGAAGGATGTAGACCTTGGGAAACTACAACTCCCAGGGTCTCATACCATTGAACCACGGCAATTCAAGTGTTGCCAAACAATATTAATTCGATGGTATGGACACACCCAGAGAAGGTTATAGACCTTGGGAAACTACAAGTCCCAGGGTCCCATAGTGTTGATCCATGGCCATTCAAGTTGTGTCAAATGGCATTCATTCTATGGTGTGGATGCACCCAGAGAAGGATGTAGACCTTGGGAAACTAAAACTCCCAGGGTCCCATAGCATTGAATCATGGCCATTCAAGTGATGCCAAATGGCATTCATTGTACAGTGTGGATATACCCAGAGAAAGATGTACACCTTGTGAAACTATAGCTCCCAGGGTCCCATACCATTGAGCCATGGCCATTCAAGTGGTGTCAAATGACATTCATTCTATGTTGTGGATGCACCCAGAGAAGGTTATAGACCTTGGGAAACTACAACTCCCAGGGCCCCAATGGCATTGAGCCATGACAATTCAAGTCATGCCAAAGGGCATTCATTCTACAGTGTAGATGCACCTGATGATTCTCTCCTCTTTTTGTCTAATGGGGGCCCTTTGCTCCCGCTCTCTGCATTAGCGATGGCTCTTGAGTCACGGCGCTTCGTGTCCTTGGAACATTTCCGTGTTTTCACTCGAATGAATAACAAGAGCCGCACAATGATGGGAGGGAAAGGTGCCAGCGCATTCCCAGCGTAGGAGCCTGGCGTGACTCTGCAGAGGGGGGTAAAAGGTGCACTTCGCTCTTTACCTTCTTGTCTCTCCCCCCAGTACACTACGGATCATGGTTCGAACACATCAAAGGCTGGCTGAGCTGCCAGGACGAATTGAACATTACCTACTTCACCTACGAGGAGCTGCACCAGGTGAGTGTGACCACAGGTGGGTAAATTGGCCAATTCCTATATTTAAGGGATGAGTTGGGAGTGTTGCGCTTATGGTACATCCACACTGTCAAATGAGTGCGTTGTGGGTGTTTCAAGGTGAGCTCAAAGGGATTAAGGGTCTTCCTTTTACAGTCTAGACTTGGACTTGACTTGAGAGCCTTAGTGGACCACAAGTGGAATATGAGCCAACAGTGTGATATGGCGGCTAAAAAGGCCAATGCGATTCTAGGCTGTATCAAGAGAAGTCTAGTGGCTAGTGTTTCTCCACCTTTCTAATGCTGCGAACCCTTAATACAGTGCCTCATGTTGTGGTGGCCCCCAACATTATATTATTCTCGTTGTGGCACCATCGAGGTCATCTAGACCAACCCCCTCTCCATCACAAAAACGACCCACTTAATATATATGTTAGAATCATAGAATCATAAAGTTGGAAGAGACCTCATGGGCCATCCAGTCCAACCCCCTGCCAAGAAGCAGGAAAATTGCATACGAAGCACCCCCAACAGATGGCCATAGCCTCTGTTGAAAAGCTTCCAAAGAAGAAGCCACTACCACACTGCAGGGCAGAGAGTTCCACTGCTGAACAGCTCTCACAGTCAGGAAGTTCTTCCTAATGTTCAGATGGAATCTCCTTTCTTGTGGTTTGAAGCCATTGTTCTGCATCCTAATCTCCAAGGCAGCAGAAAAGCTTTCTCCCTCCTTCCCATCACATCTTGATCCCTGGCCCTTATCATGTCTCCTTCCAGCCTTCTCTTCTTCAGGCTAAACGTGTCCAGCTCTTTAAACCACTCCTCATAGGGCTTGTTCTCCAGACAATTGATCATTTTAGTTGCCCTTCTCTGGACACATTCCAGCTTGTCAATATCTCTCTTCAATTGTGGTGCCCACATTGAAAAACACATACATAACTAAATTAATCCTGACAAAGGCTAAGGTCCTTGGAAAACTACAGCTTCCAAAGTCCCAAAGCATTGAGCCGTGGCCACTCAAGTGGTGTCAAATGGCATTCATTGCATGGTGTGGATGCATCCAGAGGATGTAGACTTTAGGAAACTACAACTCCCAGGGTCCTATAGCATTGATCCATGGCCTTTCAAGTTAACAGCAACTCAATAGTGGAATATGCTCCTTCTCTGGGGGTTTCTAAGCAGAGTCTGGATGGCCATCTGTCGGGAGGGCTTTGATGGTGTTGTCCTACCTGGCAGAATGGCTCTTGGGATCCCTTCCAACACTATGATTCTAACACAAGCTCAACATGAGTCAACACTGTGATGCGGAACCTAAAAAAGCTAATGGCAGAAAAGGGTTAGACTGGATGCCAGGCAGAAAGGGGTTAGACTGGATGGCTTTTGGAGATCCCTTCTAACTCTAGGATCCTATGATAAATCCTTATCTGTAGATCCTTATCTGCCGCAGAGTGAATTCACCCGCTAACTGTTTTCCTTCTCCTTCTCTGTCGCAGGACTTGGAAGGTTGCGTGGAGCGACTGTCCGCTTTCCTGGGCCTCCCCATGAAGCCGGGCCTGGTTGAGTCCATCCGGATGCACTGCAACTTTGCCTCCATGAGCAAGAACACCATGGTGAACACCACCCTGATCCCCAAGGAGATCTTGGACACCAGCAAGGGCCAGTTCATGAGGAAAGGTGAGCAGATGGGTTGGGGAGACTCGAGAAATGCCCAACTGGTCTTGGCTCAATCAAGCAGATGCCCGGCAGGTTTGACCCATCCTTGTGCCCTTTTCAGGCATCGCTGGAGACTGGAAGAACCACTTCTCTGCCCCGCTGAGTGAACGCTTCAATACAAAATTCCAGGAGGAATTGGGAGGCCAAGCCCAGCGCTTCCAGTGGGTCATGGACTGACCCACAGCAGGATGGAGGACCCTTTCAAACTCCAAATTCATCATGTTGGATCTCGTCAAGGGTTGCCATATCCAACCCGCACGGTGATTGGCAAAAGGATTTCCCAAACATTTATGGCCAGGGATCCAATGAAAAGGGATTCTGACTCATACTTAGGAAGAACCTATTGATGATAAGAGCTATGCAACAAGAGACTATTCTGCCTCAAAGTTTGTTGGAGTATCCCCCTTCATTAATCAGAGACTGGATGGCCATCTGCCGGGAGGCCTTTGATTGTGTCTTCCTGCATGTAAACAAGGGGTCAAAGTATATGGCTCTTGGGATTCCTCCCAACTCTAGCATTCAGAATGTAGTAGAGTTTCCTTCTAAAGGTCTTTAAAAAGAGACTGGGTGGTCATCTGTCAAGAGGGCTTCAATGGTGTATTCCTGCCTAGCAGAATGGGATTGGTCTCGATGGCCTTTGAGTACTCCTTCCAACTCTAGTGGAGTCTCCTTGGGACTGGATGGCCATTTGTCGGGAGGGCTTTAATGTTGCTTTCCTTTGTGGCAGAAGGGTTGGTCTCGATGGCCTTTGGGTACCCCTTCCAACACTAGTGGAGTCTCCTTGGGACTGGATGGCTATCTGTCAGGAGGGCTTTGATGCGGCCTTCCTTTGTAGCAGAAGGGTTGGTCTCAATGGCCTTTGGGTACCCCATCCAACACTAGTGGAGTCTTCTTGGGATTGGATGGCCTTCAGTTGGGAGGGCTTTGGTGTCGCCTTCCTTTGTGGCAGAAGTTTTGGTCTCGATGGTCTTTGGGTACCCCTTCCAACACTAGTGGAGTCTCCTTGGGACTGGGTGGCCATCTGTTGGGAGGGCTTTGATGTTGCCTTCCTTTGTGGCAGAAGGGTTGGTCTCGATGGCCTTTGGATACCCCTTCCAACTCTAGTGGAGTCTCCTTGGGAGTGGATGGCCATCGTTTGGGAGGGCTTTGGCATTGTTGCCTTCCTTTCTGGCAGAAGGGTTGGTCTTGATGGCCTTTGGGTGCCCCTTCCAACTCTAGTGGCGTTTCCTTGGAACTGGATGGCCATCGGTTGGGAGAGCTTTGGCGTTGTTGCCTTCCTTTGTGGCAGAAGGGTTGGTCTTGATGGCCTTTGGGTGCCCCTTCCAATTCTATGTTTCTGTGACTCCAAAACCAGACCCTATGGATGCCTCGTCAAGAGGCCTTGAGGCCCCAGTGCCAAAGAGACCCTAAGCATAAGTTTATTTCAAAACACCATCTTTATTTTTCTTTATTCGGTTCACTTTTTTCATATTCACTTTACACAGGACGAAAAGGGGGAAAGCGTATTAGCAAGACAGAGAGGGAAAAGTGAGCTGGGATTTGAACGGAAAACTCCAGCTCACAACAGGGAATGTTTAAAAGCTTTGGACTGCATTTTTTTTTAAAAAAATTATATTACTTCTCCAAATGGGAATGAAGCCCAGACTGAGAGAAGGGAAAAAGCGGAAATATTGCGCGTGAAAGAAGGGGAGGAAAAGCCAGATAAAATAAGTTATTGGCAATTCATTGTGATCGCAGCTTGTTTTTCCGAACGGACGCCCTGCTGGAAATGCTATTCCAATTTCCCTTGCAGCCAATCATCATCATCATCATCATCATCCTAAATATATTGCTCTCCATGTAACAACAGACCAAGAATATATTGTCGGGAGTTTTCATGGCTGGAATCACTGGGTTGCTGTAGGTTTTTCGGGCTATATGGCTATGATCTAGAAGCATTCTCTCCTGACGTTTCATCTGTATCTTTGGCAAACACCCTCACAACCTCTGAGGATGCTTGCCATAGATGCAGGCAAAATGTCAGGAGAGAATGCTTCTAGAACATGGCCATATAGCCCAAAAAACCTACAACAACCCAGACCAAGAATATTTGAGAAATGTGCATGTAAACAAGAGATGGAGGAAATAGGAGATAGAAAGGAAGACAAAGTGCTGTGATTCCACTTTAAATGCCATGGAGTCCTGGGATTTGCAGTTCTGGGGGAACTAGATCTCTCCGGTTGAGAACTTTTAAGTGCTGCTCCAGTATCAAGTCCTATGATTTTTATGATGCAACCGTGGCAGTGAAAGTGGAGCCATGGCACGATAATTGTGCAGTTTCTTCCATCCAATTCTCTCTTCTCAGTCCAAGTCATTAAAATTTTTGTATATACAAACGGAATAAAGTGGGGGAAAGGGAGAAAATGACTAGAGAGGCGTAGAAACGGGTTGCATTCATAAGGAAGGACATGTCCATTTCCAAAAGTACCCTTGCGACTGGTTGCCCCATCAATTCTTTTTCAACCATGAGATCCACTGATGGTGATCCACCAGAAACCCCAAAGCCACTGAAGATCAAGAGGGATCTGGTCTTTGCTGCTGGAGGTCTGTTATGTTGCCCCGTTCTTGGCAGCGCCTGAGGTTCTTGGAAGAAGAAAAGGTGCTTCGGGAGGAACCGGGGAAGGGGCTCAGGGACTTCTGGCCATCCACAAGGGCACTGAGGGTGGGCAAGCGAGGTGGCCACTGGTCCTGCTGGGCCTTGCAACAGGGTTGGCACAGCGCTTGGCTGACCTTCTGGAGCTTCTGCCGGAAGTTACGGTTGACCCAGAAGTAGACAAAGCAGTTGAGGAGGCCGCTGCCAATGGGGAGCCACAAGGCCACAAACTCGGCCCATTCGTGAACCCTCTTGTGGGTGACCGCTGCGGAAAGACGGAAGAAAGGCATTAGGTCAGTTCCGTCTTGTCAAGGTTCAGAAACAGCATTGGAGAAAGATATCTTTTACTTTTAAGGCAGTGTTTCTCAACCTTCCTAATGCCGCGACCCCTTAATGCATTTCCTGATGTTGTGGTGACCCCCAACCATAAAATTATTTGCCTTGCTATTTCATAACAGTAATTTTGCTACTGTTATGAATCGTCATGTAAATATATGATATGCAGGATATATTTTCATTCACTGGACACAAATACCCAATATGCTCAAATTTGAATACTGGTGGGGTTGGGGGAAGGATTGGTTTTGTCATTTGGGAGTTGTAGTTGCTGGGATTTATAGTTCACCTACAATCAAAGAGCATTCTGAACTTGGGTCAACCTTGGCACACAGAACTCCCACGACCAACAAAAAATACTGGAAGGGTTTGGTGGGCATTGACCTTGAGTTTGCCTCTCTCCAGCCTCACACGCGTTCCCTCGCCTGAACATGAACACTATGTCGCCATGCACCAAGCATGCCCGCTCTCCCCTGCTCACTTGGAGTCTCAGAAACAGCCCTCCCCTTGGCTGAGAGGCCGGACAATCACAGCGGAGGAGGGATTTTGATGAGCGGATTCGCCGTCTGTTTCCAAAGAGAAAGAGAAGAACATGCAGAGAGATTTTCTGCCGTCTCTGTCAAAGGGGTTCCTAAGATCATCTGAAATATATGTTTCATGATGGTCTTTGGTAACCCCTCTGAAACCCCCCTCATGACCCCACCAGATTGAATAACACTGTTTTAAAGCATTGAAAATGTGCTCTTTTTCTTAGATTATCACCCAACCTCTCGCAGATCAAAACTAGGACATGCCCAGCCAAGCAATATCCAGACAACCATCTGTTGGGATGCTTTGATTGTGTGTTCCTTCATGGCAGGGAGTTGGATCAGATAATCTTTGGGTTGTCTTCCAACTCTAGAATCTGATGAATGGCATCAAGATGGCCAAAGCTATAAGGAAGAAGAAGCAAGCCAAAAGAGGCTGCAGCAGTTTGCTTTTGCCTGAGACAACTGGGAAGGGCAAGTGCCCACTTTCTCTGATTCCCATCTACTTTTGCACAAAATGCATTCCATTTTATGCAAAAGAAGAGTTCAGTAAAGCTTTTCCCTTGACATTAAGTGTAGTCGTGTCTAATTTTTGGGGGGGGGGGTGCTCACTTCCATTTCTAAGCCAAAGAGCTGGTGTCCGTAGACACCTCCTAGGTCATGTGGCCAGCATGACTGCATGGAGCGCCGTTACCTTCCTGCCAGGGCGGTACCTCTCGATCTACTTACATTGCATGTTTTCAAACTGCTAGGTTGACAGAAACTGGGGCTAACAGCGGGAGCGCACTCCGCTTCCCAGATTCGAACCGCTGACTTTTTGGTCAGCTAGTTCAGCAGCTCAGCGGTTTAACTGTGCCACTGTGGGGTCCCAGTGAGTTCATGAACTCAAATTTGCATTGACATTTTGAAACCAGTTTGCAGCAAACTGAAGTAAGATGAGATTAAAGAGGGAAAACAAGAGAAACTGAGGCATTGTTGAAGCAGATCAGAAAGTAGGACAGCAAAAAAGTAATCCGGGCAATAGGAGAGTATGATAAGTCAGTCCAGGCTCATAAGTGGAAAAAGGAACTTGTTCTTTTGCTTTGCAGTCATTTGGGGGCAATGTTTTTTTGCTATTCTGCCATCCCCTTCCCTAACAAGGCCTCAGACCCTTTGCCCTAGTTTACTCACAATTGTACAGGATAATGGCAATGCAGGGAGTCCAGCAGATGTAGAAAGCAATAACCACCGGCAAGAGAATCCGAGCCGCAGCGTCCATCTGGAGTGAGCAGAGCTTCTTGGGCCCAGATCCTTTCTCTGCCAAAGTTATGCCTTTGCTTCGCTGACGCTGGGAGCGAGCCGCCATCCAGAGTCGCAGGTTGGCAAAGGTGATGAGCCCGGCGGCCGGGCAGAAAATGGTGCCCAAAATCAACAAGGAGTAAGCCATGTTGGAGCCGTAGTCTGGTTCACACAACAAGGCTGCTGATGAGAAACGGACTTGGAGAACGGCCAAAGGTCCTGGCATGGCCAAGGGTGCCAAGATGATGACCGGTACCAACCAGGCCATGGCAATGAGCCAAGCCACCCTCTTGCGGCTCAAGAGGCGGCTGTAGTGCAGTGGGAAGAAGACGGCGACATAACGTTCAAGGGAGACTCCAGCCAAGGAGTATAAGGAAGTGCTGAAGATGGTGGAGTTGACAAAGGCCACCGGACGGCAGTAAGAGCTGGCCTCTTCTCCACCTTCTGCCAACCGTTCTTTGGCCATTGGCCCCGTGGTCAAGCCCACATAGAGGTTGAGCGGCACCACCAGCACGGCCAAGGCGGCATCGGCCAAGGCCAGGGAGAGCAGGGCCAAGCGGCTACTGTGGCTCCAGCCGGACACTGAAGAGGCCACCACAACAATGACAGTCCCATTGGCTACTGTGACCAACAACCCCAAGGCACAAACAATACTGACCTTCATCACCCAGCTCCTACATTGATGATGAAGGGCATTGCCATGGAGGCATGGTGCCCACCTCCAGGGATGGTCAACCTCAGAAGGGGGTTCCTTCCAGTGTCTCCACACTGTCCTTCCAGTTTGGGTCACTTCCTCCCAACTCAAGGGCCAACCTTTCAACGTGGGGTCCCTTCGCCTTTCCAGGTCCCCTTCTTTGGGCAATGGAAGTGACCGGCTTTCATTCAAGGGCACCTCCGTCTCATTCCATCTCTCTGTCTCAAAGGCAAAAGGGCTTCTTGGGTGGAGGAGCAGCACAAGGCAACCAAAGGGGCCGATGGGGAACATGGCTGGAGAAGAGCACACCTGGGAGGCCTTTGGGAAACCCAGGCTTCTGTGGAGTAGGGCCTTAAGTAGCCTCCTTGGAAGGAGGACTTCTCCAATGGGGATTGCAGGCACCACTTGGGGAAGGAAGAACCGAGGAGGGTCATTCTGGCCACAATCTGGAGAAAACACCCATTGGAGCAAGACTTGGAGAGAGGGTCAACACAAAGGGAAAGCTCGCCGATTCGGGGAATAGGATAGAGGCATCTATTTCCAGGTTGGCTCCCTTTTTCATGCTTTCAACAGTTCTGCTGCCTTCTCCTTGGTTGTCACCTTCAGAAACACTGCATTACCAGAATAGAGGCCCAATTACCATCTAAAGGCCACCACTCAATGCTGAGTGATGATGGGAATGGTAGTCCATCAACACCTGGAAAGGGACACATGTTCATCCCCTGCACCTGCATCAGGTGTAACAAGGGCAATTGCCACTTTAGAGAACAGGGAAGAGTTTGGAAAAGTAGCTCCCAGAATAGTAACTTTTCCTTGCTATGTGTCAGAGCAAAAACAATTTGAATTTGCAACATCTTGACAAATGTCAATGGAAGTGTTGCATGCATTGTGGGTTTTGTGTTTGAACTTCAAGAAGTCTCTAAAATAGCACATGGGTGTGATCATAGCCAAGGCAGCACTCTTACTTATTTCAATTCATAACATTCTCTCTTTTGCTTCCTGCTGAACCAAGTGGGGTCAGGATCCGAATACAGTTCCCCTCCTAAGGAGTAAAAGGCCTTCTAGTCCTGCAAACACTTGAACAAGCCCCACAGTCAGATGGGTTTTGCAGTCCTTGTTAGCATCACAGCCAAACATTAACAGCTGCCTAGATCAGTGGTTCTCAACCTTCCTAATGCTATGACCCCTTAATACAGTTCCTCACATTGTGGTGACCCCCAACCATAACATTATTTTTGTTGCTACTTCATAACT